GGAAATTGGCCTTCCCGTTAGGATTTCCAACTTTCAGATGTCGTACGAGAAAAGGCAAATCGTGCTAAAAAAATCCAAGATAGCGCGGTAAAGGTCCCACCAAATGATAACGAATGCACACAACTTTTCTAACCTTTATTACAATGTGAGGCCACCACAGGTCACGAAAGAAAAACAATGATCAGTCGGATAGAGACAGTTACAACGTATGGTAATACTTCTCGACAGATGTTGAGGGCACGGGAGTAAATATTAAAACTTCGGGGAGACAATTCCAACCATTTTGCTTCTCCAAAACTGTTTTCTGATTTAATTTGTGTTTAGCTTACTTTTGTATTATTTCAGACATGCATGCGGATTTACCCAGTTCACCAGACATCTTTCTCAGACCGTACTGAACGCCATGCTTCATGTGGTAAATGGTGCCATCTTTTCCTATCATACGCGGCAACCGGAGATATTTAGGGTCAAACCCGAGGTTCCTTCATGCCAAAGGCTCCGTTCTGTCCTTTTATGTAGCCTTGGTTCTTGTGCATGGCTGCTTACAGCCACCTCAGAGAGTTCATGGCGGTCAAAATGGTATGATGTATCCCCTTAAGGGCCTTCGGATCGACCAGGGAACCCCGCCTCTGTGTCACCAGAATAACAGCCAGAACGCACCCCGCGCCTGGACGGATTAGCCCTTCAGCCCTGGACCGGTAATGGTAATGTGTCCCCTGGTGTTTTTCTCATGGGCCCCTTTCCCGATGAACGTAAGGGGTCTCAGAGGTGTTAAATGGAGTGGATCGAGATGATGGCAAGCATGGAAAAGGTCATGTCATATTCGCCTGAGAACGTTCATCCACTTGCAAAATCGACAAGCGAAACAGACCGAGCGCAATGTCAGCAGCAAGAACAGCGATGGCCGGGGTTGCAGTTTCGCAAACAAACGGTGTTGGCCGCTGCAGGTAACACCAGGTGGTGGGCTCCCTGCGCGCAAGAGCGATCGTCCCGAAAAATACTTCCAAAGCGTTTCCAAAGAATTTGAACCATATGAAATTTGGATCGGGGCGTATGTTTTTATCAGTTTAGAGGATGTCATTTGGTCAGATTAATAGCCAAAGCAGCACGAAAAACAGATATTCCACCTTAAATCGTCCAGTTCCACAAGCCGAATATATGAATGAGCGCCCGGCTGAGCTGCTCTTATAATCAATCTAAAAATCCCACAGCTGAAATAGGTGCCCGGACTACTTTCTAAGCATATGAATTAATGTCCTTTAGCATTCAAAAGTACTTTTTTCTCAGATGCGTCATCTTTTTCGCCAGCGCGTTGGCCACCTCTCAGTGTCAGCCGCGGGACCGACGCCGCGCGACCTACAGAAACTGCAACGCCGGGCGTCAAGGTTGTCACAAGATCTGCGGGCGCGCATGTCCAAAACCATGTTGACTAATTTTTCTGGGTGGTAGATTCTCACTGAATCGTGAATATTTCAAGACAAACATGGGTTAGCGATGTTAATATACAATTTGGACCCCACTTTGATCTACGATCTACGCTCAGAGCGTCCTTAAATATCGCTGAAGAACACAGAAAGCATCTGGTGAATCTTCCGATATCTATCGGCTTAGGAAGAGTCCACTGAACCATTATAGAATGAAGAGCCCAGTGATTTATTCCACACAGCAGTTCGATGCCTAACTCCTGCAGTTTATTGATTTCAAAGTACAAGGAGAATTGATCTCGCGATAGCTTCTGGTTTCTGCTTGTGTTCTGGTCAAGTGTAAAATTACAATAAAATGAAGAACAGTGCCCATCTTCAACAATTGAGCATGGGGGAAGATGCGCCTTTCATCATCTGGGGCCTTTGTCAAACCTGTTCCTTCCCTCTTGGCCAGGCTCGTTAACAACTAAGCTGTACCCGGCGGTTCTTAGGGGGGGGGGGGGGGGCACCACCTGGGGAAGCTTCTTTCAACCCTGTACTCCCGACTGGCAAGGCCCTGTCTACGCACCTGCCTAAGTATGAGAGCAGATCAAGTTGGCTACGTTGAATACCAGGCAAATGAGTGCCCGGTAGAGCAAGTCACACTTATGGCAGACGGCTTCTTGAAAGTTTATTTTCCGCTATGGTGTGGTGCAATAAAAAGTAAGTTGGAAGTAGCTAGTGTAGCAGATGTACAATCTATGCTTTATACGCCAATAAGCAGGGATGCTGATCCATAAGCATGCAACAAAGCAGTCATTCGATCGGTTCGCAGTCCGTCGCGTGGGAGACTGCCAGGCCAAGGCAGTGGACGCCGGCACCGGACGGAAGCACGGCTCAGAAGAGGAACATATGAGAAAGGGGCCCTTCTTTCACTTGGTTTTTATAGGAAAAAGTCTGGTTTACTGGTTTTTGTCACCTTGTTTCTGGCAGTAAGTATTTGAGGCTTCCGAGTTTGTTTCCGCCTAAAATGGCAGCAAGCGAAATCTAGACACATGAGAATACTGACACATTATTGGACATTAATTTAATTAAAAATTCTGACCAGCCTGTGCCTAGGTCGCATTTTGGCATCAACCCTGAGGAGGCAGATGCATCCTCAATGACTCAGCATGCCTACCCGCTCGTGCAGTTTTGTTTCCCCAGCGAAAACACTGCTGAAATAAACGAATGCCGCTGAATTCAAATTGACCCCCACCCGAGCGCGCTAAGAGCGGAAAATACTCTCTACCCTCTCCCCTACGTTTATCGATCCCAGTCAAGTATGCGATGAACCTGCCCCCCCCCCCCCCGACACTTTTTGAAACGTTCCTACACCTATGGCTGTGGGAAAAGTATCCCAGACACAAAAATACAATGTTAGGCTGACTATGAGGTCAGCTGAGGCCAACTTAGGTCAAATTCATAAATCAACACAATGAGAAAAAGTTGAAGTGCTAACCGAGTGTAAGTGACCAGTGCAATGTTTGTCTATGGCCAGAAATGGTGTGATGCACGTTTACAAACACTCAAGATCGCACAGCTCTTATGTACATTTTATAAAGTCCTCTCAACGCTTGGCAATGTACTTGTAACTAATTGAGAACAGGCGCGTTGGTACATTAAACCATACCTCATCAGCTTCACAAGCAAGATATAGAGGTGGTTACACGCGCCGCCCTAGTTCCTCTAGCCCCGCACTGCTGACAACAGTGGTCATTGGCCTTGGATGACCTCACATGGCCTTACGTGTCCTTACGTGACCTATTATGACCTCCCTATGCATTTCAGTGATTCAACCATGTCCGTTTGGTGGAATAGTTTAATTCTGCGCCCAAAATTAACTTATAAAAGTGCCTATTTAAGCTCAGCATGTGTATTGCACAGGGCACCCATAGGAGCATACCATGGCCTAAAGCAGTATCACTGATCTGTGGTCACATGTTGGTTGCGCATGCAAGTTAGTACTCCCTTCCTCACATACAAAAACCAAAGATACACAAAACACGCACAAATTTGCATAATTTACGAAAAATAGCCCAAACTGACCTCATCTCAGGCCACTGACCTAGTCTGCTACGAAAAATTTGAAGCGAACAACTGTAGGTGCCATCATGTTCTATTAACACGCGCCCGGGCGGCCGGCTAGATACCCTTCGCTCGGGTGGGGGCCAACTTGACCTCACTGGGATCTAGAGAACTTAGAAAGCTGGAAACACCACATTTGCAGGGTGTGCTGACTTGTACGTGGACTCACTTAGGTCAAAGTTTGAAGTTCCTAGGTCATGACCTTCGGGTCAAATAGGTCAAACAAGGTCAAATTCCAGGTGGGTTCCCAAAGTGCCCCCAGAGCCTAGACAACTGTTTCTGAGCAAAAGGTCGCATGCTCATTTAAAGTCGGTGACCTTGTTTGACCTTTTGAAGGGCATGGGGACCAAATTCATACGATACTGCTCTGGGTTTTGCATAAGAATAAACAACAAAGATTACACTAGGCAGTATGTTTCTAAAAACAAAATGTTGATCTGGGTCAATTTAGATCAATGACCTATTCTGCCTCTGAAAAGTCCGTGTAACATGTATAATTAGTTTCCTTCTACCAATAAACTCGAAATAAGCACCAGCAACTTTTCCATATAGCAAGCCCTAAAGCAATAAAACAGGTTGGTTTTTACCTTGGTTTACCTTTATACCTGACCTTGGGTCAACATAATTTGCTCATTCAATATTTGTGTTACCTGAGACGGCATCTCAGATATGTACACCTTCATCTGACACTCCGTTGTTGCATCAGATTGAATGATTCCCTAGAAATTGACTTCGCTGAAGTCATGGCCTGACTTTGAACTGTCATAGGTCAGCGACCTTACATGGTGCATCTAGATCTTGATGTCAAATGATCCGCTATTCAATTGTCTACAGCTATGCACAATTTGGCGCGGCTACGCGGGGCCTTTCGGAAACCACCCTGTAAAAAACCTTTAGGGGTCAAATTGACCTCCACCCGAGCGCGCGTTAATGTAGCAAGTTGGAGCACTGACAAATAACGCACAAGAAAGTTACACAAGACCATTTTTTAAGCTGACCTCTGATCTGACCTTGGTACATAAAAAAACTTACGATTTGCACTAAGGATGTTCAATTGATAGGTGAAAAAGTACTGAAAATTTGGTGCGCTAAGGGCGTTCATTTTTGAGCACTGCTCAAAACACCAAGGGACGGAAGTAAACTTTCCCCGACCGGGCGCGGGTGAGCGGTGCGTCACACGGCTCCATAACACGCTTGAGACGTTTTTTGCCCAGTTTGAAGGAGTGCCGTGTTAAAGTGCACCTATGCGTGGACGAGTTGTCGCAAAATGACCCTAATAGCAAAGCCGTTTTAACCACATCATGCTACATTACCATTCTCACACTCGCATTATTCAAAGTTTGGGCACGCACGTGCTGTGCGAGCAAGGGCGCATGGGAGCGCGCGGCCGTGAGCCCTGGCACCTGTTCGTGTGCAGGAGTGTGCCGATCAGCACGCAGCACAATGTCTGGTGTCTCTTACCATGCGAAATGAAACAATATTTTGTTTATTCACTGCTACCATTGACATCACACAGCGGCATTGAATGCAGTCCAGTTCCAGACCCTCGTACCCTGGAAAGCGTACAGAGCTAGAGCAATGAGCGCATGAAATGCCGTATTTTCCCTTTAATGAAGCGCGGAGTCCCGCAGATGTATAGCCCGAATGTTTTGTCATTCCCGGAGCATACCTGAACACGTCGTGGGTGGACGTCCCCACGGAACCAAACTAGAACATAAAGCATCCAGTTTCGTTGTGTTCCACATCACCATGCACAGCCTTTGCGTTGGTCGGGCTTGCCGCAAGCATGTGATGGAGGAGACCACGGACTGTCCATCTCAGTCGCGCATTAAAACAAGAGACATTGCATTTTGAACACGCCGTCGATGCAGGTACAACACGCTTTGCCAACCAGTGATCTGTCAACACTGGCTCAACGTGGGAAACAAGAGGGAGTTTGACCACAAAATACACACGAAGATATAAATCAATTGCAAGACAAAGGTTATAGGGCGGACACAAAGGCAGTCTTGGCAACTTACATGCAATTACTATCTGAGGTACTTCAAAGGTGTTGCCAACTGCAGAACTTCGGTCCACTGTACGGCCCACCCCGCTAAGTTCATCACGTTATTTCACGATTATTTACAGTTTTTAGCGGAGCCTTACCGCAGACGCCCGCAGCTGAAGCAATTGATTACCTAGAACCGTCCAAGTTTCAGGCTTCGAATTTTTACTGAAGCCAATGAGTGGAGCTGTCTATCCTCTTACACCAGTTTTGCCCTTCGCCCGTATTCATCTCGGCTCCTGAATATTCACCAATACCACGTCAATTTACCAAGATAATTACTGAAGAGTGGCCAAGAGCTCAATGTTTGGGGGGGGGGGGGGAAGAGGGGATCCGACCATCGACCCACACTATTCTTACGCGGACGCTCCAGTTCATCATCCGCCGCACAGAGGTTTTTGCACATGCCGTCGACAATAAGCAGCAGGCGAAATAACTTCAGGATATCTAATTTACGCTTCACAAACAACTATACGCCTCACAAACATCGAGGGCGACATACCGAACATGTAACAAATCATTCCATAACTAAATCATCAGTTCACTGCACCTGGATGCGTGTTGCTATCATCTCTGTTGAAACATTATGCTCCTATCAAACGGCACGATAAAAGTAGAGGTCCACACCAGCCTTTCGTCCAGTGGGAAGTAATACGCTTTGGCTTCTTCAGTACATCGCCATATGCACACCGCTCAATTTAACATACTTTTTCGTATAGCAAAACAAACATCATCGGGCAACATAAAACAGCAAGGCAGGAACAATGCCAGGTTATCACACGCGTAACACACAGAGGGACGGTTATTAGACAAGCGTGAGAACAAAGTAGTTACTCTGAGAGATGAACATTGCCACCCAAATACGCGCAATTGAATAGTGACCAACCCAAGTCAGGTACATAATGGAAACCCGCCTCATAACCATTTTGCGCAGATTGGCCGAGAGTTACAAATGTGTTCATCCTGATGGCAGTCAAGCAAAACGAAACTTTTATCACAAGCGCTTAATTCGCTCGTGGTGCTCACATCGTTTCAAAACATTCCAAGGGATGGTGTGATACCCGCAAGTGAATCAAAATTTGTGGGCGAGATGCCCACCAGAACTGACCTAAAACTGCGTAGTTTTACAAACGGCGATAAAACGGATGTGTGTGTTACTTCACGCACACGCCACTACATCCAGGATATGGGAAAAATAGTCAGTAGCAAACACGGACTGCGTCCGATGTTACCTTACATTCCGTACTTTAACCAGCAGACACATGTGATTTATTTAGTGCGAACAAAACTGCAAGAACCACTGACTTGGATGACAATGTTAATGGTACCATCTCATGCGTTACAAGACGTTGCAAGTCATAAAAATGAAAGTGAAACTGTACGAGGACGCACCTTCGTGGCTCCGTCTAAGCTGGATCATAGAAAGCCTATCGCATTCACTCACCGATGAGTGATTATCGGTTTGCTTGCCGTTCTAGTACAAAACACGCCAACGTGCACCACGGCAAGGACACTACACCAGAATAGGCGACACGCAGCCGACCGCACTTGAGAGTGAGGCGAGCGTGGAGCCGGCCACGGCATATCTACCCACAGACGACTACTGAAACTGTGACGCGGCCGCCGAGCCCTGGCCGCAGCATCTAGGGCCGGTGCGCGAGGTGATGCAAACTCGGTAGGGCTCGGTCTGCAGGCGCCCGCCTTCATTACATCTCCAGTAATCTGCCACTGGCCACACACACAGCGTCCAGTCGTGGAGGAGAGTGCAGCACGGAGACGAAACAGGACGACAAAAGACGACTGACGCCAACGCCATCAAATGTCAGATGGCTTCCCATCAACCTCGCACATTATGCAGGGCGTGGTACTGCGCAGAGTACGTGAACAAACTCAACAGTAAAAAACGGCAGTTCTCGGCGGTTCATGCCTTCAGTGTGAAGTGCATAACAAAGGCAGGGTGGTTTGAAAGCAACTCTTTGGTATGAGTTATGGCACACAAGCGGCGAAGGATTCGGATAAATGAATGATATGCGTCACTCTTCCAAATAAGCGTAGCAGATGATGACGACAACCTGAGGACCTTTCTGGGGAAAAACCATCCCCAAAGCATGCATCTTCTCACAGCGCATGCAATGGGGTCTCAACGCACGCACAGCGGGGACCACCAGGGCAAACTGCACCTGTAAAACTAAGCCTGCGCCACGCGGAAACCGCCCGGCGGTCCACGCCCGACCCTGCGCCGGCAGCACTGCAAAGACTAGGTCCGGCGCTGGGAGCACGCACCCGCCATCCAGCGAGCGGGTGCGCGCTCCGTGCCCCTCCCCACAAGCCACAGCGGGCGGCACCGCCAGCCCGCGGGTGCCGCTCTTCGCGCCGTCACAGGCGGGCGCGCGGGTATCACACTGGCGCGCGAGGCGACGCCGCGGCGCGCGGAGCGGCCGCCGCGAAAGACTAGAGCCGTCGGGCTGAGTAGGAGGCGGGCGCCGCCGGGTGCGGCGAGCCCTCCCCCAGTCGGGAGTCGCCCGGGACGCCATGTCGCGCTGTGCCGGAGCCGCCGACAGCCGGCGCCCCGCCTCGTTGACGTCCCACTACGACTTGCCATCCTTGTTCTGCTCTGGCGACGCGCTTCCGCTGCCGCTGCCGCTCGATGCCGCCGACGGCCGCGCGTCGCTATCGGCGTCTGCAACAAGAGTCACGGGCCCCGCTAACACGCGAGTACCACCCAGCATAAGCACCCAGCAAGTCGCGTGCGGTGATATTGCAGGATGGCTGAATTCACTGGTAAGTGGTCCGCTGAATACCAAAGCGCCACAGGAGAGGGGGGGGGGGGGGGCACCGACAGCAGTTTTATGGCTACCAGGGACTCAAGCATTTTACATCTGACCTTAAAACTTCAATTTCCTCGCATGTTGCGCCACTGAGCTACAACCAAGTTTTCAAAGGACTGCGTGCAGAAAATGTGAAAATCAGCGGTTCTCTGAACACTACACGACGCATTTTCTACCTTATGTGCAGCCGTCTTAGACCATCTACGGGTCAATGTCATGGGTCATGCATGCCCTTATGCTATCTTACCTTGCGCATTGGAAAGTAAATTGTGTCATCAATGACAAATGGAGAGAAAGGGTAGTGTTTTTAGTGCGAGCGGTACTATCACAAGCTCGTTAAATGTCATAAAATCCCATTAAGCGCCATTTGGCTCGAATTGACAAGTCCACAAAAAGAGTTCAGTTAAAAAGGCAAAGATTGCCGACGACCACTACCAAAACTGTCATTTCTTCTCTGGCATATCACGCGTGGTTTCTGCAGAGAATGTGCCAACCGCCTACACTGTCGATAGTGGCAGAAGCACCTGGACAAGTGGATGTCTTAGCGAGTGGATGCTTGCGCATGGACATGAATCAAAACATTCAGTATATCATGCATGCATGCTATATCTGACCAGAACCTAGTTTCATGCAACAAAAATACAGGCATATTTCTCACTCGCTTCGTGTAAGCATACGAGCCGGAATTAAGCTGAGCCTTTTCATCCCTCCATTCTCAGGACGCGCCGGCTAGGCTATGTTGTTTTTCGTCTATTAATCCATACGACCGATCTGACTCAGCGTCTTGGCCAGTACACGCCCCTGACCGGATGACGACCATGACTGGCAGGGGTGGGGACACGTGCTGATGGTTGGCGAAACTAAGGAAGATTGGATGTTTTAAGTCCTTTCGAAGTCAATGTTTTGCACGAACGTTCTTAGGTAGAGGACACTCACTAGATACAGCTTTCTGCGTAGACTCAGAAGCCATCATATGAATTAAGCAGATTTTGCTGATTGGTAAACTTTGCTTCCAACCATTTTATCACATTGAGCTACGGAGAGTTTCACATGTACAAGACTACAACATGGCAGCCCCGAGCCACCGACAGGCGGCATTTCAGACACATTCTTTCCATGCAACGTCACCGGTGCAGCGTCAAGCTCTAGCACCATTGCGGGGGGGGGGACATCCTTCCCCGCTGCTCGTAGTGGCCTCGCCGTCCACTGACCTGAACACGACATCTTCTCCATCTGCTCGGGCAGGTCGGCCGTGGACGTGGTGGCGTGCTCGCCTCGGATGTCGGGCAGCGCGTTACGGCGGCCGGCGCGCCCCGTCGACGCGAACTCTTGCAGCGTGTCGTCCATCTCAACCATCCTCAGCCGCACATCCAGCCACTGTAACACAGCGACGTGCTCACTGTGCTGGCACCAACCCATCATTACCCTACCAACATTAACCCATTGGTCGTCAGGTCCACACAACCAAGCAATTAAACAACATATGAGTACATTACTGATGAGACAATGAGCAAGGCTGAGAGCCCATTTTACCACATTGGATACAATCCCAGTGACGTCATAATTTATTTAGCTCATTAGGCAGCATGATGGAATGTCTTATAATTGTGTTTGGTACTTTATTCGGTTATGGTGCATAATAAGCTAGGCTAACCAGCTCCTACACAAGCTCTTGCAAGCTAAGGCAGTAAGCTAGCACATAAGCTTTTACTGTCCCAAACAATACGCTGGTCTGAGAAAATTCGTTTCGAACTGCAGAGCCTCAAGACCAGCGCCACCAACATGAATAAAATAATATCACAACCAGCATGAAAGCAGGGCGGGAACACAATGGAATTTGCTGTTAGGAATACCATGCCATACAGCTATTACAAGATCCTTGAAGTTAATGCTATTCCCAACATATGTGTTTTAAGTTCGTGATAAATCCTCCTGAAAAGTATCTATGGCATTTGCGCATGCACACATTATCCAAATGCACGTCACACATTGAAAAAACGCATCAAAACTGGTGCTGCCATAGTGTAGTGAAGTGTAGGTGCAGCTTTAGTAAATGCAGGTAACAGGCACAACTATGGCAACTGTAGCTTAAGCCTATCAAGATGGCTGCCCCTTATTCCCCATATGATTCACTGGTTCCGACAGCTTCACCAGTAGAACTACGAGGTCCACATCAAGAAACTTATGCAAATCCCACAAACTTGCCAACCAAATGTCAGAGATGCTCCCCAGCTGTGGAGAAAGGACAGGCATCTTAAAACAAGCAGTCAATACCCAGAACGGTTTGCAGGACACGTACCTTGATACTACACAGCTAATCAAACATAAGAAATATGCATAATTTGCCTCCATGTTGGATATTTGCATAGTACACTTCACATTTACCCACACTCACCATAACAGCTCACCTGCCTGGAATTGTGCTATGACACTTTTATGACCGACTCATTTAATTATAAGCAGTAGATTATTCCTATTTTCCACTACCTATTTCCCATATAGATTCCTCGCCATACCTTACCTTATCTTTCCCGGTCTCGTCCGGCTCCTGGTCCGGGAACCAAACGGTCTCATATAGGTAAATTCAGTGTGAAATGTCATAAATTATCTCCACCCAGTGCATATCAAGTCTAGACTTAAACCGCTCAACTAAGGTCGACGATACGACCGGGTGTGGAAGAGAGCTTCAATCGTTGACGACCCGCGTGCTGAACGAGTTACGACGGCCGCGAGTCCAAGCTCGAGGTTTTCTTAGCTTCCATTGGTGTCCTCTTGCCACCTCCGAGTTGTCTGGTCAGGACTCCTCTTCCGACAGCGACATACCTTCGTGAGGCAGTTGATACACTGTACCCATATCTCGCCTGCGACGACGATAGTACAACGAGGGCAACTGGGGAAGTCTGAACCTCTCAGGGGATTGTGGCCGATGCCTCGCTTCGTACACAAGACGCGTAACTTGCCGCTGAGCCTGCGCCAGTCACCGCTGGCCCAGTCTGCCGAGCAGGCCCAAGATGACGTTGCCATACTCCAAGTATGGACGTACTAAGATCTTGAAGAGCAGTGACACCGCGTGAACATCGATGTTGGCAAACGACCGTCGCACGCCCGCCAGGCTGGCCTTTGAGATCGCCTCCACCGTCTGCACGTGGAGATTGAGCCTATGATCCACGAGGATCTTGAGCTCCTCTCTGTGGCCTCGACCGCGATTTCGGCGCCGTTCATTAGGTCAGTTTTGAGTTTCAGTTCTCGAGATGCATCTTTTTGCACTTCGTTGCATTAAAGGGGGGTAAGTCACTCTTCTGACCACCTCACCAGGGCGTCCAGGTCGATCTGACAAGGAGTCTCAGTTAGGGATCCAGGGACACGACAGTATATCTTGGTGTCAACCGCGCGAACATCTTGACCACACTTTGGCCTTGACCTGGTGGGTCGTCCACGGAGATAATGAAAGGTGTTGATCCCAGCACTGATCCTTGCGGGATGCCGCTGACGACGTCGATCTGGTCAGACTCCGAGCCCTGGACTCGCACTCTCTGCATACAATGGGCAAGTAAAGCCCTGATCCAGCGCAGCAAGTCATCCCTCACACTGTAAGCATGGAGTTTGGAGGGCAAACTGTTATGCGATGCATAATTAAAGGCTTGGCTGAAGTCCAGTTCCGCCACGTCCACCGGCTCTCGATCCTCTACCGCGGCATTCCGATCTTCGACGAATAATAATAGCTAAGTCATACATAACTGCTTTGGGAAAAATCCTTGCTGGGCTGCATGCACAAGTCCGGACTCCGAGAAGTGGTTAATTAGCGAATATCTGACGAAAGATTCGAGTCTCTTGGAGGAAACGACAGTAAGGCTCACTGGGCAGTAGCTCGCTGGGGATTGGCTGCTGCCTTTCTTGAAGATTGGGACTACCTGACCAAGCTTCCACTCCTGGGGTGGCCTTAGGGATGCCAACGATTTTCAGAAAAGCATGCTCAGGGATGGCGCCAGGACATCTGCAGGCTCACAAACAAGCCTTGATGTACATCATCTGGCCCAGGGATGCATGAGGTCTTCAGTGTTGCTTATCTTTTTTGCCACTGCCTGGGTAGAGATGTCTATGTCACCCAGAAATGGTCAACTCGAGTTGCAAGGCATCACTACCAGCATCTTATGTGTGGTATTGAGTTAGTGTACATCCAAAAGGCCTTGGGGTTTCTTTTGAGGTCTGCTGCCAGTTTCGTTTCACACTCTTTTTGAGGGTTTCTTTTCAACATCCCAGGTCCTGGCATGGTCCAGAACATCCTGTGTCTGTGTGTATGTATGCCACAGCTTTTTTCTTACTCCGCTTTAGCTACATGGTCGTTAGGTTCAAGCCCAGATTCTTTGGTGGTCTTGTCCTTTTCCTGATGGAGTAAACCTCAGCAGGCCTGGTGGTTATCTCCTAGAAAAATTTATAGACTTCTTTGTCACTGAGGTTCCCCATCTGGGTCAGTCCATTATCCTAAGGATGTCTATCAGGTGCTCATAACTGGTGTGTATCATTTGTACTAGATGAGGAGTTTGTGGCCCAGAATAGCAGACCAATGCGCACCTGATAATCACATGGTTGCTGTTTCCTAGCCTAGGCAAGTATTCAATTTGGCTGATCATTTCCTGCTCTTTGGAAATATGAGGTCAAGAATGCTTTAAGCTTCACACACCCAGTAGTGTGCTGGCTGCTGGACATGCTAAAACAGAACAAACAATAAAAAGCCCTGGAGAGCCTTTGTCAGTGACTGGGTTGCATGACTTTCCAGAGCTAATGACTGGACTGTTCCCCAGTCAATCTGAGGCAAGTTAGAGGACTCTACACACTCTCTGGATAAGGTCCTCCAGATGATGCATGCTGTCTACACTGTTGCCTGATGGACTTCTGTATATACATCCAAGTATCAAAGCATCCTTCCCACTAAAGCCATCTTCAGCCCCATTTGCTCCTGGTTACCTGGCCCCAATTAGTGCTAAGCCACATCTAGTAGGTTGGATACATAGCCACATATTGCTCTCTTACCACTAGATCCCAGGTTGGCCAGAGATGGATTAGAGTGTGTGTTTAGAGTGTACCCAGATATTGATAAGAGTGATGGTGCAATAGGAAATTCTGGGCTTTGGGGAGCAACTTGGCCAGAAACATAATTTCTGGCTTGCTGCCACAACTAAGCATGCATAAACCATACCTTGTACTAAAGAACCAGTCTGCCTCAGCATATGATAACTCCAAACCTTGACTCAACTGTACTGTGCAGCATTGTGTATACACATTGGTCATGAGGAGCTGATATCACATTGAGTTGACCCTCCCCTGTTGCCATCTCCATTTGCTGGTCAAGCTGACGTACCTTTAAGCATGCTGCTGGCCTCCCAGCCTGAATTGGGTGACCCATGAATCCATCCTCCATAATTGCGGTCACTGTGGTGTCAGCTGTCATGTCAGGGTCCCCACAACCCCCAGGATGCTAAGCAAGGTGACTCAGATTACCCTCACCAGAAGGGTTCAACCCATGGTGGGCAGCCCACTTGGGTGCCTATGGAGTCACCACTCTGGTTTGTTGCAGTTGATCCTGGTGCAGGTAGGAGAACTGCCCTGGTGTCTCTGGGACAATCGACTGGGCAAGCTGCTAAACGTGTTGATGTTTCACCACTTTGGAGGATAGCTGGAGCAGCTCCTGTTATGGCAAAGTGAACCACACTGGTACCTCAGGGCCATCAGCTTATCCATTATCATCCCATCTTTGATATTTGCATGGTATGCTTAAAATTTATGTGCACTCATGTTAACTTAGCCAAGCAATATTGGCCAATTCAATAACTTCATATATTGCTCTACACCCTATCCATTTCTGCCAGCACACACAGCTATTTTGATAGCCTGAGAGCCAAAAGTGCAAGGTTTACGAGCATGGGTGAATTACACAGATATGGTTACAAGTCAGCCTGCAAAAATATACCCACTGTGCCCAACACCAGTGTACCCAACATGTGCCATCAGTGTGTAGAACCTGACACTCATGTGTGGCAAACACAGGCAAAGAAGCATCAAACTGAACTTTTCAGTGAGCATGAGAAGTGTTTTAGAGTAATCTTGTGAAAATTCTCCAGCATCATAATTCCTTGACACATTTGCTCTCTATACCCAGGAAGACAGTGTGCCAAATTCACAGGGCTGCAATAACTTAAAGTTGCATGCATCCATCTGCTGAAGCTACATTTTTGAACTTTGGCTGTTTGCATTCCAGTAGCAACTTGTGACATGCAAGTTGTCATAAGTTGTATAACTCCGCAGACAGGCATAATAGGTATAACATGCATGTTTTGTGGCTTGGGTTACAGGAGGGGCTGGGGCTGGCAGTAGGTTCTGGAGAGTGAGCATGCAAGACAAGTGTTGTGTGATGCTAAAATATAAAGCACAGCATACATATCTAAGCAGTTTATGCCTGCCTATTTAGCTTTATTAGGTCTCCCAAGGAAGCTGATACCCATGTGGCTTACATGTTTGTTTTACTAATCACAGTTATGCAGGATTATACCCCACACAAGTGGAGCACATAATCACAAAATCTAATGTGATTAATGGTCTCAATTTATGCTTATAAGTGCTACTGAGGTGCCAACCTGCAGAATGTGATAGATTTTGATGATAGGTTATTGGGGCTGAGATGGAGTGCAGCTTCCACCTCAGGGCTGCTTATCATAATTTGGACAGGACAAAATTTGAATTTGAGCATTAATGGTAATATAATGCCTTCTTTAGTACAGGCCTGCTGCATGACCTACAGCAGTTGATGCACCCTACCCACCCCCCCCCCCCCCCCAAATAGTACAGGTCTGGTCAGATCACACAAAATGACCAAACCTGATCAAAGACATGTTTTGGGGATAAGCAGCTAGTAAGGATAGCAAAATCTGCCCACAGCCAGCCACCCATCTACTCTATTTAGGGCAGAGTTCTGCCTGCCCCAAACTTGTTGCTATCTTATGTTTGTCATGTTTGATTACATAAATTGCATCCCGGCTGCAGTGTGCTATACAAACATTTCCCGGTATTTGGTGTTCTCTTAACTTATCAGCTGACAAATCCTTCTATGCCGACATCGCCCATCACCTAAGGGAGGCAAAGGTAGGGAATCATCAATTAATGCCAACTTACATTGGGAAGTTCTGCTGTGAATCCTTTTGATGCCGAATGCTACTGCCCAGTGCGTAAATCAAATGTTCCCAACACAGCGGACTCGTAAGAGCTCAGAATCCACCACAAAATTGACAGAACCCGCCTATCAGCTTCTGTGCAGCCTTGATGGGTTTGGCGCGACCCGTAATTGACTAGTTTACTCTCACAATATGCAACTCTGCCGACGACTCGACGCACGCCACCGCCTTTCGCAACGCACTCTATGCCAATTCATGAGCATTGCCAAGGAATTGATATGAATGTCTTCAAATACTGTTCAACACAAAGCTGCAGTGCTTTTGAATCGCTTTAGCTGTGTAGCTATTGCTGGAGAAACCAAAAGCCACCATCATTGAAATCATGTGATTGGTTAGTTGGCGTCTGTAAGAGCAGCCTTTCATTTGTGGTCTTCGTTTCATATTTCGCGCATTAAATACAGTTACGGCGTCCATGAATACTAAAGCATCCGAGCGCATGCTCTGCTGCATGCATGCAGTGATTAGGGCTGTGCAAATGTGGTGACGCTTGTGCGTTAATGTTTACGTGTTTTGAACGGAAGCCACCACCGTTGTCTGCTGAAAGTGATTTAAAAGGTACAAGATGCTTACGTACCAACCAAATAAGGCAAATGTTTGAGTTACGTGATTTGGGAATTATTTGTACTCATCAGAATTTTATGTTACGTTTTCTGTGGTTAAGGCTTTTGTCCAGAACAGAATAATGCGGTGTATATCCACGTCCCCCCCCCCCTAGAGCCCTAGTCATCATCGTCCTGCATTGTTGAAAATTGGTATTTTTGTAGGAGTGCCACACTGTCACTGGTGAAACACATCTTGTGTTTTGAGAGCTCTGTGTCATTATTGACTTGACTGTGCATAAGGGGTGAGAGCCTTAGATCCCTGAAAACAATTAGAAGTGGGAAAAATATGCTCAAATGTATCCTGTCATTGGTCCTCAGACAAGTCATTTGGAAGGTTGTTGCAAACATGTATTACCACGTGGTTAAATTAAAAGGTGATGTGTTGTATAACATGCATGGGGAGATCATACCTAGTAAGATTATTTTCAAAATTTGTGTTGGTTATGAAATTAAGCAAAATTACAAATCTTAAAGATAATTTTGCTTCATTAGGTGGGAAAGCTATGCTTGAATTGAAATGTTCAGCTTACTTCATTGTAATAACACAGCTAGTATCAATAACTTATCAGCAAGGTTATGCATAATTTTTGCTGAATGTAGTGCCCACATGTTTTGTCAAAGTTCTTCAAGTTGCCAGTGTATAATTGCATTAGTGACCTATGCTGGCTTCAGGAATCACTAATTGTGTGATAGAAAGTGATCAGGGGGAACCGAGTGTGTGATACAGTGGTGTCATCAACAAACCAAGAACATAACAGTGTTGTGATTAATTGGGAGCATAAGGCTTGAGGTAATTGTCTCACATTAAGCAATTATGGCCACTCCCAGTTATTTATTACGCATCTGTGCATGGTCAATGCAAAGTGACACCTGTCTGACAGTGGCTTCTCAGCATTTTCTGCCCCATGCCAGCCAATCTGACATAATTGGCTAGTAAGCCCATCCCTCCCACCCGGCAGGCGCCACAGTATGCCTGAGAGGGAGCGGCTGGGCATGCCAGTGCGCTGCTCCGAGTGCACGCGTCGCTGCCGATCGCGCCAGCACGCCGACATGGTAAGCTCGGCCATCACCAAGGCGTCGGATGCCGAGCTCATCTCCTACATGTCCTGGCTCTGTCACAATGCCGCCACCGGCACCGACTCGGCCGGCCGCACGCCGCTGCACGTAGCTGCCTCCTGCGGGCGCCGAGAGGTCAGTGCTGTGTCCCTATGACTAGTGAGAGGTCATACCCACTCCCACCATGTGATGGGCAAGAGTTCCAACACGTCCTCGTGTGTGTGTGACTGGCGAGCGGTCCCATTTCCCCATGTGGCCGACGCGAGGCAGGACACGTGTCCCTGTGATCGTTCGTTTAACGTACGCCCACTGTCGCACATTATTTGCTTAGCGCCCCATCTCGGAGATGGGGCGACAATGGTGCCGTGCCCGACGTACAGCTCCGTCAGCTTTGACGTAGACGCTGCAGTTTTGGCGGTTCCCTGGGCCGCTGATCACCATCAGCCGGGCCCGTGAGCACGCCACCTCAGGTGCTCTGCGCCGCACCACCGAGCCGTGACGCTCATCTCCGTCTCCAGCTGGCTGAATGGCTGGTGCAGGTCCACAGCGTTCCCCTGAACACGGAGGACAAGGAGTCGGGCATGACGGCCCTGCAGCGGGCCGTCTTCTACGGCCAACTGAGCGTCGCTCGCTCACTGCTAATGGTAGGCTTCAGCGTGCCGCTCGCTGCTCGCGTCTGGAGTAGGACCGTGCTCTTTGTATTGGGGCGATGCGTCATTCAGCTCAAAAGTGGCTGACCCGGTGTTCTTGTGTCACGTAACGCTGACGTGCTCACGATAACGTCACACTCGGATGATGTATTCCCGTTGTCACGTTCCACACCAACCCCGCACCCTCGCTGGCATGCTGCGCTCTCTGAAACCTCGTCCCTGGCATCACGGCACGCCGATGCTGTCTCCCTGGTGTCACGACGCCCCGATGCAGTGTCCCTGGCGTCACGACGCCCCGATGCAGTGTCCCTGGTGTCACGACGCCCCGATGCAGTGTCCCTGGTGTCACGACGCCCCGATGCAGTGTCCCTGGTGTCACGACGCCCCGATGCAGTGTCCCTGGCGTCACGACGCCCCGATGCAGTGTCCCTGGTGTCACGACGCCCCGATGCAGTGTCCCTGGTGTCACGACGCCCCGATGCAGTGTCCCTGGTGTCACGACGCCCCGATGCAGTGTCCCTGGCGTCACGACGCCCCGATGCAGTGTCCCTGGTGTCACGACGCCCCGATGCAGTGTCCCTGGCGTCACGACGCCCCGATGCAGTGTCCCTGGTGTCACGACGCCCCGATGCAGTGTCCCTGGTGTCACGACGCGTCGATGCTGTGTCCCTGGTGTTACGACGCACCAATGTTATGTCCCTGGTGTTACGACGCACCAGTGTTATGTCCCTGGTGTCACGACGCTCTGATGTTGTGTTCCTGGTGTCGCGACGCGCCGACACTGTGTCCCTGGTGTCACGACTTGTCGATGTTGTGTCCCTGCCGTCGCTTCGCCCCGTGCCCCTGAATCGACAGCGTCGGCCGGCGTGGTGACCGGCGGTGGCCTGGCCGCAGCTGGGGGCCAGCCCGCTGACGCAGGACCACGCTGACATGACCACCTACGACGGGGCGCACGCCGACCGGCTGCCGCTGGTGGAGCTGACGCCAGCGGCGCCTTGCGAGGCCTACGTCTGGGGCAGCAACCCCTGGTTCAGCATCGGCGTCGACCGCATCAAGGCGCGTCAGGTGCCGGAGCCGCTGGACCTGTTTCGGCGGGCGGGTGTCTGGATCAAGCAGGTCGGTGGCTCTTCTCGGGTTTGGACGGGGCACTGGTCAGGGGCCGAAGGGCCTGCGTACCCGGCTGTACCTGTGCAACAAAGCCGGGAGGGACTGGGGTGGTTCGCGGTATCTTGTACGGTGGGGTACAGCTGGACAAAGCTTAGTCCCTGGAGTAACCACATGTTGTTTAGTGTGCAACGTGTGTTTGATACTTTGTGTAGAGATATCAAAAGTACCTATGTTGGGTGGCATGTGCGGTCTTTATTTTGCGACTCCACGAAATCGTCGCTTCAGATTTTGAGCACTTGCGTATGGATCAGCCCAGTTTGTCGGGTTCGTGTATCAAATTAGCTGATGGTCACTAACTGAAGGTCGAACGTGCCGTTGGCTGCCCTGGGCACCCGCCGCATGCCGGTCGCTCCTCCTTTTCAGATAAAGATGACCAAGTTCCACACGGTGTTCCTGACCCAAGGCGGCGAGGTGTACACATGCGGTCACGGCATCGGCGGCCGGCTTGGTGCGTCCATCACGCCCCTCTGCCGTCCACCACACCCCTCTGTCGGTACCCCTGACCCCGTCTGCCAAGCCGAGAGGGCCAGTATGCAGAGCCGGTATGGTGGCTACTTCGGACTGTCATTCTGCCACCTGCCGGCCACGTGGCGAAGTCTGGCCTGCCTGTCCGCTGCGGCACTATGTGATGCGTTTCACAGCATCCATGTTCCAGCGTATGTGGTGCCAAGAAGGATGGATGACGCCATTGTGGTTGGGAAGGGGGCGGCGGCATGTCCCCCAACTGTTTTGGAATGGGATTTCCCCTAATGGTCGACGTGATGAAGTGTTCGGTGTAAGTGACTACATGCGCTGACAAACACTCCGGCAGGTCACGGCGACGAGGAGTCCGTGCTAGTGCCCAAGAAGCTAAAGGCCGTTAAGGGCGAAAGCTGTGTGCAGGTGGCAGCGTCGGTCGACCATACGGTGCTGCTGATGGAAAGCGGAACAGTAAGTGATTCTCTGGGATTTTCAAAGTGTCCTAAGTGTCAAAATGTTATTTCGATGCTGAGTGGTTCGGTATTATTAACAAAGCTTAGAAGTGTAGCTGAATCCAGGGGTTAAGGGCGCAGCGTCATATTTCACGACTGGGTGGTCCGCTAAGCAAAACAGCGGCGAAGTGGAATGTGATGTCCGAAGGCGAAGGACTAAGCATCGCGTGCAAAGGTGGAATGTTACAGAATATTGCCAAAAAACTGGCCGGATCGGCATTGCGTGCAAGAGCTGACGAATTCCACCCGCTGTGGATGGGGTTAGCATCGTATTCGAGGATCGCCTTGATTCATGTCTGTAGCGGCACGACGCCCTTTAGACCGTCCAGCTGAGTGGTGTTGGACCTGTCGTGTGCGATGCAATGGTGACTACCAGCCCCGGAGAGGACTTGCATCAGTACCTGCCGGAGTATAAGGAGAACATGCATCAGGGTAGTCACTGACTATCCTGACGCGTGTTCTCCCATACTTTTCGCTTTATTGAAACAAACGAACTTTCTTGTAACCAGTCTTCTTTTGCTATTTGAACTTATTTAGCCTGCCGCCTACATGGACATATATCCGTAAACATGCCTTGTGTTTTTTCAACATTTTATTGCATTTTACATTTTATTGCAGAACATGTTATTGCTGCGATGCTCATGTATTTGTTGCTTATTCAGCTCGCATGATGCTCTCTGACAGCGGTGGGAACCGTTCACGCAGATCATAACCGAACTTGGCACGTCCGCGCGGCACACGCGCTACCACCAGCTGCGCTTCGCATAGCCTCCATAGCTGAGCTTTAGTCCCGCTGACATTACGGATAGGTGATATAGAGGGCAACAGAACGCACTGGCTGGCGGAACATTGGGGATGGTTCTGAAACTGTGCCCAGTTGCCTGTGGACTGCTGGTGATGCAGCCGCTCTAAGTGTGGCACCGGCGGAATCCCCGCTGTGGCACGGGATCGCTCGAATACTGACACTGGAAGACATACCACCGCTGATGTCAAGTGTGGCGCCACGCCTGTTGTCGGACTTGATCCCAGTGCTATCAAGCATTTTTGTATTTTTTATCGTACGTTTTCCATGTATATCTCCCCTTCTCATCTTGTCCCTGCGCATTCAAAGCGAAGTGGTTTTCGGCGGCAGCATTGCTGACATCACTACCACCACCTCTCGTGCTCCCGCCTTTCGGTGCAGTCACTAGCTGGCTCCGTGTTTCGACTACCGCCGGCCGTCGCCGACGTCGGTGCAGCGCAGCGTGCAGGGGTAGAGCACGGCCGGGCAGCAGCGCTGGCCGGCGCCGCAGTCTCTGTCCCGCCGGCACAGGCTGGGCGGCTCCTGGCCCTTGATGCAGGGTCGGAGCGAGGTGATGGGACAGCGGCGCCACGCCAGGCCCGGCGTCAGCAGCAGCACCAGCGCCACCAGCGGCGCCAGCGGAATGTTCAACCACATGACGGCAACACGACGCTCGATGGACGACTGCCACTGCCGGCCTCGCACGGAGGGTCTCACTGACTCTGACGTGGCGCCGGGCCGGACAGGGGGACGGGCGGCAGCTGACAAGTCACGGGTCACGAGTGACGGGTGACGGGTGACCAGCGGTGGCGGCGGCGGCCGGCTGTGACGCGTGGCATTGTGTGCCCGGTCGGCCGCCGGGCGCGAGCGGCGCAGCTGGTGATGGAGCGACACGTCAGCGACGAAGGGACGTCGCCGGACGGTCCGCGGTCGACCCGAGGCCCAACTGCGCTGGCGCTCGCAGCGCCACGTGACGTTGCGCTCACTAAGCGGTGGAGAGCCGGTGGCCGGCGCTGCCTTGGGCTCGTCATGATACGACGATGGACGGCCGACGGCTGGCAGCAGCGCGCTGCGTGTATTACTGTCAGCGGTGCGGCGGTGCTCGCGCTGAACGGCGTGGCAGGCGGACGCCGGCGCGGAGCGGAGGCGGAAAGGTCGACCACTGAGTTGCTAATTGCTGATGGGCCCGCTGATCGGCCCCCTCCCGCCCTCCTGCCACGTCACAGCCTCCGACGCCCTCCTTGCCGCGCTGTCTGTCACGTAGTTTGGGTTTGCAGCAGTGTAGGTCTCATATGTGCCTGCTTGGCTTGACTGAGAACACAAGCGGATGGAAAGGCGCTCGAATCGAGGAACAAGACCCATTATCAACAAAAATGTTGCAAGATGGTCTAGACTGATGTTATGGCAGTGCTCTCGCGTCGGAGAGACGTTATCATCACGTGAAATTGCTTTACAAAGTGGACTGGCCCCAAGGCGTGGACGTACATGAGTTGAAGAACAGGCACAGCACAAAGCATGGACTTCTTAGCATGCAATGACTGCCGTAAATGATGACCATTGCAATAGTTCACGGAAACGATGCAAATAGTACGTAACAGAAAGCTTTCGTGCTTCCACCTACTCAACCATTCCACATTTTCATGGACTCATAAATTTTCGATACGGGTGGCGCGGAGTTGACAGCTGAGAATATTACGGAGTAATAAGTTCAAACAGCCTTATGTTGTGACCGTAGTTTCGAAGAACATATTCTTAGACGAATGGGTGCGGTGCAGGACGCTAGCCTAAATGTTGTCCACATGTTTTGCACAGGCGTGACCAGAAAGGAGGCTCTACTCTGACTGTTTCCCGCCAAGCCATTTCAGAGCTATGTAGGGTAACGCGATGAAGCGCAAAAAAGTGAATATCATATTCACGTACACGTTTAGCAAATAACCTTGTGCATGGGTTTACTTTATGCCAATCGAATGGCACCAGGGGATACAAATGATGAGTAGAGCTGTGCTAGTATTATGTGGGATACATTAGCTGTCTCCGCAACGAGCCGTCTAACATTTCTAAAAGCATGCATTTTCCTATTCTGTCATCATTGTGACATTGTTTGTCATGTGTACAGCGAGCACATTCTTCTGCGTAATTAGCTCATAAATGTGCTAGTAAGCTTGTTTGCCGGGACGGGCGACATAGCTTGATTGCACAGTGATCGAACGTCCTTCCGTCGTGTTTGAGCGCCGTTCACGTCTGCACTTGTCATTGTGCCACTCACACCCATCTGTGCGCCCATTTTTGAGAGCTGCACGCGGCTGTGGCACAACACCACAGCCAGCCACGCCGCGCCGTCCGCAGCTTGCCTTGTCCGTCCCCTCCAGGTGTGGACGTTCGGTCTGAACCAGGCGTGCCAGCTGGGACACTCGCCGCCTCCCGCGCAGCTGACCACGCCCCGTCTCCTGGAGTGGAGCCGCGGCAGAGCGGACCGCATCACGGGCGTCTGCGCCGCCAGGTAACGGGTCGGGGACCGCATCACGGGCGTCTGCGCCGCCAGGTAACGGGTCGAGGACAGCACAAAAGGCGTCTGCGCCGCCAGGTAACGGGTCGAGGACCGCACAAAAGGCGTCTGCGCCGAAAGGTAACGGGTCGAGGACCGCACAAAAGGCGTCTGCGCCAGATGGTGATCGTCTTAAGCAGTGGTGTGCTTGTCTTTAAGCCATGCCATCCAAATTCCTTTTCCGCACATGACAAATATTTCACTGGCTCTGTAGTGATAATCCCTGTCACGGGTGTGTGGTCAGGATGCTGGATGATCATTGTATTAATCTGCTGTCATACATGATTGAAAACTCATTGTTCAAGTGCCGCATGTCGTGTGGTTTGTAGAAATCATTTTGCCTACACTGAAGTGCCACACTGGTATGTAAGATGATTTACCTGCGTGTTATAATATCGAGCCGCCTGCACGACTGTTGATATAGATTAGACAGATTTAAGGAGGTTGGTTACGACTTGAGATCGCGCCTGTGTTGAAACGTCTCGACCATTAACAGGTACCACACGGTGTTCTGGAACTCGGAGGCGCTATACTGTGTGGGGCTGAACGGTGGTCAGCTGGGACAGCACAAAGATGAAAACAAGGACAAGCGGTTCATCCTGCCCAGAAAGGTGCGCAAAGCGCTGTGCCTGGCCCTGAGCCGTCCTCGTTAAACGCGTGCAGTTGCTCCGCTATCACTCGCAATCAAAAACCGCTGTCGTGATTCGATCGAACGTGCATCGTTTCTATGTGTTAGCTCTGCAGTGTTCGTTCCAGGCGTCACCACTCCGACTGACGTTGGGTTACACCAGCCCAAGTTCTTTTCCCGGGTCACATCACGTGGGCCCGCCCGCCGGCGCGCCGTCGGAGCCGCGAACTGACGCTGCTGCCGGCGCCGCAGGTGACCATGCTGGACCGGGACCGGCCTGGTGACGCCCGGCTGACGCACGTGGCGTGCTGCGACGGCGCCACCGCCGTGGCCACGGCTGCCGGCGACGTCTACCTGCTCAGCCAATACCGCTGCCGCCGCATCGCCTCCAAGTGCGTTCCGGCGCGGACTCTCGTGGTGCCCGCGGACTGGGCGCCATAACCACGGCGTGGGGGGGGGGGGGGGGGTGATGTAGCCAGGATACTTGGGTGCTTGTTCTTCGATCTCGGGACAAACCGATGTGTTTGTGTTAGCTTTTGCTTGTTAAGTTTACTCGGTGGATCAGTTCGCATTATTGTGGCCGACCTGTATCTGTGTCGCTGCCGCGTGCGAGTGCCCGCGCCCTCAGTCAACTGACCCCCCCCCCCCCCCTCCCCCCCTGCCGGCGGAGCAGGCTGCTGAACCTGCGCCAGCTGCGGGTGGACGGCGGCGCGCCGGACGCCGAGCTGGAGGGCCGGCGCGCCGAGCGGGCTGCGCCGCTCCGGCTGCTGCTGCTGTCGGCCGCCGGCCGCCTGCTCGTTTGGCACGAGAGCTGGCCGCTCGTCGCCAGGTGAGGCGCCGCCGTTGCCGCCGCCGCCGCGTCAGGCGTCCCACTCACAGGCGGCGGCCGGCAGATGGTGCTGTGAGTCGTGTGTTCTGCTTGGTCTGCGTTGAGCTTGGCTGCCAGTGGTTTATGTGTTCTAGCTACGGCTGTTAGCCCCTGCGGAATTGTTCCCACCGTTCATTTTTGCATGCCTGCAGGCATCCTTTACTTCCGCGGCATTGGTGACTGTTCAGAAGTTGTTTGCTGTTTGCATCATTCACGTCGTCTGGACACGTGTCCGTGCGTGCGCCATGTAGCCTGAATACCTCTGATAGTCCCTGAAGCATCCTCCTCCAATACGCTGGAGCCGCGGTTCGAAGGCGATTAGGCGCCGCTGACCAGACTCGACTGACGTTGTTCCCTTCTGCGCCGCGATCCATACCCACTCGCACCACCGTTTAGCCCACCTGCGGCTCAGTTCACACCCACGGCCGCGACTGTAGCCGTACGCGCCGCGCTGTGCCGTCTCGGCCGTGGGCGAGGAGGTGCTCAGCCCCTCGGTGCCCCTCCCTCGGCGGTGACGGCGGCGTCCGCACGCAGGTGCGTGTTCGGTCTGCGGCGCGAACTGGCCGTGGCGGACGCCGAGCTGGACAAGCACGGCCTGATTCTCATCTCCGAGACGGGCCAGGCCTTCACCGGCGCCATCGTGCTGCCCGCCGGGCGGCACGCGCCCGACAAACAGGCCAAGGGTGGGTGGCGGCGACCGGGCCATGTTAGTGGGTGGGAGAGGGGTGCGGCTCGCCTGAAGGTAATGTGTAAGTCACGGGTATATCTTTATATATGTATATATATGTATATATATATATATATATATATATATATATATATATATATATATATATATATATATGGAGTACAGGGAGAGAGGAGGTCCATGCGACACACCAGATGTTGCTGGGTGTCATCCACGAAGATGCGCTGCTGAATGGGAGTGAGATGATCTCTTCAGGTGATAATCTGCCAACCGACCGTCCGCTTCGCTGCTGACTCGTGCGTTGTCTGGCAGATGGCAGGCGTGCGGCGGCCGCCGGCGCACCGGCCGCCACCGACCGGCAGCAGTGCGCCCAGGTGCGCGTGACTCGCGTGGCGCACATCCATCGCGCCGTCAGCATCACGTGCGACGGCAGCGGCGGCAACGCGGCCGCCGTCCAGTGTGACCCGCGCGCCTTCCTGCTCGAGGTGCGCGCGCCGGCTTCCAGGGGCGCCCGCGGCAGACTGGACCTAGGGCCGTGTTAGGCTGCTCTGGCACGTTGTTGACTTCAGGCTCCCGGTCGAGGTGGTTGATGGTGGACACCTGACGCCGGTGTGTGGGCTCGGCGTGAGCACCGAGTGACACGAGCCGCGGTCGGCCTCGCGTTGTTGGCGTCGGGAAGAGGCCGTGCGATGGGCACCGCGAAGTCGGCCAGCGGCGCCTCGCGGCCCGTGGGGCGTCACACCGACAGAGGCGCTGCTTGCGATTACAGGTGCCACAGGTCTCGCCGCCCCAGCTGCGCCACGACCTGGGCCGCCTGCTGGAGAACGCCGACGAGCACGACTCCGTACACGACATCGTGCTGCAGGTGAGCCGTCATGCGTGACGCCACGTCTCGGGTAGCCCGCAGTCTCCGCGGGTCCGTCGCTCAGCCGCCAGCTGTCTGCAGCAGGGCTGCGGTTGTCGCCCCGCATGCTTGTCGGGAGTCCTCCGGCGCCAGTTGGCCGTCTGGCGCCAGCTGACGCTCGCCTGGCTGGCGCGGTGAGCCGACCACTGATACCCGCCTGCCGGTGTCGCCAGGCCGGCCAGACCCGGTTCGCCTGCCACCGCTACATCTTGGCCACCGGCTCGAGCTACCTGCGGCAGCGGCTGGCCGGCGGCAGCGACGGCGACGGCGTGGTGGACGGAACGCTGCGCTTGGAGGCCGCGCCGCCGGCCGCGCTCCGCCAGCTGCTGCTGTTCCTGTACACGGGCACGTGCGACCTGCTGCGGCCCGGCCCCACCGAGTTCAGGTCAGACGCACGCCGACGCCGCGCCTCGGGCTCGGCTCAGGCTGGGCCATGCTCGAGACGCCGTGAGCTCTTCTGGTGAAGTTTCTCCAGGGCGCATGTGACTGGCTCCTAGCTGCCCGGGTGTGATGACCCCGTGGCACGCGTAAGTTTCCCTGCGCTGCCCGGCGGGACCGCTCCATGGCGCCCAGGTGTGATGACCCCGTGGCACGCGTAAGCTTCCCTGCGCTGCCCGGCGGGGCCGCTCCATGCCGCCCAGGTGTGATGACCCCGTGGCACGCGTAAGCCGCCCTGCGCTGCCCGGCGGGACCGCTCCATGGCGCCCAGGTGTGATGACCCCGTGGCACGCGTAAGCCGCCCTGCGCTGCCCGGCGGGACCGCTCCATGCCGCCCAGGTGTGATGACCCCGTGGCACGCGTAAGCCGCCCTGCGCTGCCCGGCGGGACCGCTCCATGCCACCCAGGTGTGATGACACCGTGGCACGCGTAAGCCGCCCTGCGCTGCCCGGCGGGACCGCTCCATGCCACCCAGGTGTGATGACCCCGTGACACGCGTAAGCCGCCCTGCGCTGCCCGGCGGGACCGCTCCATACCGCCCAGGTGTGATGACACCGTGGCACGCGTGAACCGCTCTGTGCCGCCCGTCGGAGCCGTTGCATTGCACTCAGGTGTGTTGCCGTCCAAAGATAAAGCCCCATATACTCAGTTTTTGCCATTTCGCGTTGTTTATGTCATTTGATTCATCGTTTCAAGCTGAATTTGGTTTTTAAACCATTAGTTGGAATTTTTACAAACAGGGCTAAAAAAGGGCTAGAAGTATGTGACAGTTCCAACTAATGATTTAGATAATCGAACTCAGCTTGAGAGGACGAATCAAATGGCGAAAAAAACAAAATAGCCAAACGTGAGCATATGTGTTCTTGGCTTTGCGTGACAGAGTGGCTCTGTCACGACCATCTCTCACAGCATGACTGCGCGGTGCGGCCTTCAAAATTGGCTTAAAAGAGGCGACATGTGTCACTTGTCGGGGGATTATTGGCGCGGCTCTGTGTCTGACAGTGTGTTTTGAGAGCGTGGAGTGCCTTGTTGGCGGGCCGGAGGACGCTACATTTTACAGTCCGTATCAGATCCTCAACTGCCCTGGTTCACGAGGATGTTGCAATCCCGAAAAACCAACAACATCCGTGGCACGCGCACGAGCGTACTTAGCTTTGCAGTGATGAACCAAAGCCCTTTTCATGTCAGGAAAGCAATCATGGATTGTCCACGCTCTCCTCCGTCGAAAGTAGTTGGCCTCTTGTCCGTACAACGACGGGTTGTCGAGATTTGTACCCGGCTTAGACATGCTAGGGTGCAGATCTTTGCAGTGAAGAAATTATGTGTTTTTTCATAGACATCAAATGTGATAGTTTATAGGTAGTCCGGCACAACTTGGGTAGGCACAACTTCTGAATTATTTAACGTGTGACTGGACAATGCGTGAAACTGCGACAGACGATTGCGAAGTTCTAAGAACATTGAGGACCAAACGCGGTCTGACGTTAGCGAACTACTCAAGATTCTCTCTGCTCAAGTAGCACTCACTCGGCTTATGGCTTTGTTCGTAGTCTACTTCTCTCATCCGTTCAGTTTTCCATTCTATGCTCTGTCCACTGGTTGTCAGAATGGTGATGGGGTGGGTGTTTGGGATGCCCCAGTGGCGAGTGCCGCGTAGAAACTGCTGACGTCGGCTGCTGGGCGCGCTCCTGCAGGTGGCCGTCACCAGGCCCGCCAGGCTGTCGCAAATATAGATGGTCCGCACAGGAATGCTGCCGTTGAGACGACGTCTGATCCTTGCTGTTCTTGGTGAGGGCATTTATGTCCACGCATTTGTGCGCCATATACACATCGCGAAACATCATTTCTTACGAGCAGGGCTGCAAACCTGGTAAACACAGATCCACCAGATCTAAGTCCACTTGCTTGTGGTCAGGAGCTTTATTATCAAAGGCTGGTTTTATAAAAAGATATCGTTCCCTGCGCCCCCCCCCCCCCAAAAAAAAAACTCAGTCGAAAATCTTTCCTCCGTTTGCCGAGTGGTATAACGGCCCTGACGGCCGACGTAAATTTCAACTTCCACGCTTTTTCAGACTCAAAATCAGCTGTTCAAAATCAGATTACCAGATGCTGTCTTGCAGCCATTAAACAGCTTAATTATTTCGCGATGGTCGATTGCGCTGGTTGAGAACGACAACATAGCTTTGGGACAAAATTAATTAGACAACCAGGATGGTCGGTTCCATCACCAAAATACACACCACGATCACCAACGGAAGTAGCAAGTCAGAACGGCCAATTTGTCACCGGAAGGCTGAGTCATTATCATCGTTGCCAGTTAGAATCTGGTATAGTGAAACGACCAAACATCAGGGCTAAAACTACCGATTACGGGTGGAAGGGCATTAACAGGGCAGGGGCGAGGTCAAGGGTAAGGGCAAGGACATGGGAAAGGCAACAGTCACCAAAATTAACTAAATTAAAGAGTCCCCAAGAGCCCCTGTTCGGTCCTAGAGTGTGCGACTGGCCAGACCCTTCTGTTGTCTGATTGCGGACCATTTCATTGAAATTTCTCATTTCTGTGTCATGTCAGACAACAAGGAAGTCGACCGGCGCAAGTAACTCTCTGACATTCAGGTTCCCGTTCTTTTCTTCTTCAGAAAAATGTGTCTCTGGTCGACTAGGAGCCCCTTGCCGACACAGGCTCCCCTGTAAATCAATATGTGCCTTGGTACAGCGGGCCGCCTTGTTTCAGGGGCCGGGGGTCAACGTACGAGACCTTCAGTAACCATTGCGAATACCAGCCTTGTCCCTGCTTCGTAAATGGGACCCCCGGGGCCCAAGCCGACTAAGAGCTAATTGCTCAGCATTGGTAGTCATGGACCCTCATAGACGCCTTTGTTGTTCTGATACCACCCACAGTCGCGACGGGTTCCTTTGGCTGACCTTTGAGGGTCAGGGCCTTGCCCCGGGGTCGACCCTCGGCCAGCCCTTCGGACTCCCCAGTCGGGCCCTTAATAGTTTGTGCCGATGCTCCCGAAAGTCACTCAGAACCTAGTGGGAGGACATGTCCCCTGTACCCTCCCGCCTCCCCCACCCTCCACCAGCTGGCTACCCCCCCCCCCCCCCGTGATGTGTAGGTATGCACGAACCTCAATGCTAATCAGCGACTCGCTCTCACAACGCAACTCCGAGGCGAATGACGTCTGCGTCCCAAACCGTTCCCAAGCTGATGCAAGTTTGGTTTAAAATATGATCGTTTTTTGCTGGTGAGCTGAATATCCTAAAGACTGGCGCAAATTAGTGATTTCCTATCATGTCTTGGTGATTTCTTTTACTTGTCTGGTGGAACTCCAGCCGGTCTGGTTAAAACAATTCTTTCTAGATGTTTCCTTCGTGTATTTGGTGACCTAAGTAGGCATTGTGGCTAGCAACTTCGTTAAGCTGGCAGTGAAAATGTCTATATAAATGGTAATAATCCGACCGGTGGTGAAATGTTTATTTTGGTTGTATTTCATCCAATCTGGAAGAAGTGACCATTCTCGTTGCTTTTTATTTGTTTTTGGTGACCGGTTAGTAGGAAGCTCATAGTGTTTGGTGTTGCAAATTAAGTCCAACAAGTGCATTATGCGTGCAACTTATTGTCTTATTGGGACGACAATGATATTTGAGTTTAGCAGTGGGTGCCTCAACTGTCTTGGCCATGTTGCGCCCTCAACGAATTTCTGCTCGAGCGGTGGGCAGTGGCCACAGGAAGATATAGCACTTTGCATGCGATGTTTTTGCGTTTTATGAATAGTAAGAGGGAATGTTCCACATTTGAAGATATTGAAGCAAGCATCAGATGTGATGAAACAAGCTCATTTATAACCATTGTTATACTTGTGAAGGAAAAACGCTGCTCTAGGCAACATAATTTCTTAGTTTGGTAAATATACCCCCCCCCCATGCGTCTCGCCGTTTGATGTCATCGTACCTAGCACAACATTGATTGAGAGCCAATTGACGGTCGTTATATTTGGAAATCGTGCTCACGAACGGAAGATGTGAGCGACTCGAGAACAATATTTTTTTAGCCTCGGTCCGTGCATGGCCAATAGAATGCCAGGATTTGAATGACGTTATCGTGACGGCATGGATGTTTGAGTGACCTTGAAATAAGCTGCTCATCTTGGCGGGCGTGTAGCTCAGAAACTAGGGAGATTGGGGCCTTAAGAATGTCAGGGCCGAAGTGAACTGCACCGAATAATCTTGAAGATGGCTTTTTCGGTTTAAAACCCGATAGAAATGTGGAACTCTCCCTGACAGTGATTTTCACATTTGAAGATCTTAAAGCAAGCATCAGATATGATGAAACCGAATTACTTATATTTATTGATATGCTTTGAAGTAGAAAAGACTGGTATAGACAACACCATTTCCCCGTTTCGTAAATATGCTCCTCGATGCGTCATTATTTGATTGCGTCATCGTACCTTGCACAACACTGATTGAGAGTCAGTTGACGGCCATTATATCTAGAAATCGCGCTCACGAACGCTCACGAACGCCTTGCTGTTGCCAAGAAGTATAGAGGTTTGGGGAGAGGGACTGAAGGGAAGGTTAGTCACCAAATAAATCACTAACCTCATAGAAGTAGGGGTAAGCACACAAGGTCCATGGTATTCATGTGAATCACAACCAGGGATACACAATAGCAAATCCATGTTGTTATCATCCAGGTTGCACGGAAATTTTTTGTCTAGGGACATCTAGAATGAGCAGTCTAAGGGGCCTGTTTTGGGCCTGTGGAGCCCGGGAACCCTTTGTTGTGCTCCTTGTTAGCTTGTCAGCTCGTTTTTCTCCCACAACTGCGTATTTACCATTGCGCTTCTCGCCACACAGTTTGGTGTGGCCCGTTGGGAGACAATCGCACCCGACAGCGGATAATTTTCTGGGACTTTTTTTTGCTCGTAGCTTTATAAAACTCAGGAGAGAAAATCTGAAAGAAATACTTCCGTCGACGATATTTTTTACCTTGGCTCAGTGGGGCGTACCAACCACATGCAGGAAATGCGTGTATTGATGTATCCAGGCTGGACATGACCTGATAGGACCAAGGTGGATGGGGCGTATCAACCCGATCCGACCTGACTTGACCTGCTCCGCTTGGCTTGGCTTGGCTTGGCCTGGTTAGGACTGGATCACGAACACTTTCACGGCGTTGGCTCTTCGTGACTTTTTACCATCAACTGTACATAGTTTCATGGAACATTTCTTCGACGCTTACCTGGACGGAAGGGTCATTAACGACGCATTCTTCTGGTCTCGCAAAACCGTTTAATAAAAACATAGCACACAAGATGCTATCGCATTCCTCGCAACTGGCGCGCCACAGCACGTAGGTGTGCTTTAATACGATGCATTCCAAACGTAACTATGTGATATTGCGTGTCATAGAACTAAGACTCCAAGTAGCCACGTTTGCATTTACAGAATTACATGGGACAAACGCGTAAAGCACTGAACGTGAGAACTTGTTTTCTTTTAGCGCCATGACCTTCGCCGATGACTGGCAACTTGGTCGCAATTGCCGACAGGTCAGTGTTGCCGTCTTTTCGCGTGTACGCACTTCACGTGGAAGCACCTCTTCTTCCATTTTGGTGTATTGCGGCGCGGTGCCACTTGAACGGCGCAGACACAGCACATATGTTACTTCCCAGGGCTGGTGCACACTAAATGGGACAGTTAAGCCCATGTGTATGGATAAATAGATGCTGATATACCGGTAGTGTACTGATAGATACTAGCAGCAGATCGCGGATCGTATCTTGATTTATAATTCCCGTCAGTTGTGCAGCAACGCTTTAATCCTGTCTGGTTTTCCGTGGCTTGTTTTTCGTTACCGATGCAACGTTGTGTTACATGTCGCCCCACATGTGCGCTCGGTTGTAAGGGAGCATGGCTTATCTGGCGTCCCGCCATATGCCACTTAACGAGCAAGATGTGCAGCTTCACAGCCGCTGGCGGGCGCCCGTTATGCAAAGGGTTAGGGCTAAGCTAAGGCTAAGCACAGTTCGCAGCCCATATCTTCTATGGGGTGCGAACCAGGGCACTGCGCGGCAAAAGGTTTTCAGTGGCTCCCGCCGAAAAGCAGCAGCATTAGTCATAGACTGAGCTGTGAGCCTTCACATTCACACCTTGTCGTTCAGGTATGACACAGAACAGAGGGGTGAAATCCGGCACGCGCGCCGACCACCAGCGCAGTGCGTGGCGGAAACTAACAGGCCTCCCGGGGTCGCTGGGTCCATCCGGGAACTAGTTCAGGAACGTGTGGTGTGGCACCGTCCAGAGGGGTGAGATCCGGCACGCGCGCCGACCACCAGCGCAGTGCGTGGCGGAAAATAGCAGGCCTCCCGGGGTCGCTGGGTCCATCCGGGAACTAGTTCAGGAGCGTGTGGTGTGGCACTGTCTTGTTGGAAACACCCTGTGTTCGTTCCGGCTGGGTACCAGATAAGAATGAAGAACCAGAGAATGCGTTTACCGAGGCGCGTTTTTCGTTTTGGAGTACCCAGGACAAACTTCCTGTCAGTATTTAAGCGCACATCTGCTATCTTTAAATTTTTGCTGGATGTATTGAAACTTGCTTGTGACTGAAGAACTGGTGTCATAGAAATCGATTGGCGTGGTATTGGTGGCATGTCGGATTAAACCAATACCGGTAGGTTTCCTGTGAAGGAACTCAATGTTCAGGCACTTTCGAGGCCACACTGCACGAACGACATCTGAACCCAGCTTATTGAAGCAGGACCCAGTATCGTAACCATTTCATTGCAGCACCGCCTTGACGTGCACAACCGTAGGAGAAGTATGTTGAGTCCCCCGTTGACCTAAGCATAGTGTAAAACGGGCATAGAGCTACCTTCCGCCTGAAGAAATGTTTGTGGTAATGATTGGATGCCGAATCATGCGCTGTAAGAAACATCGTTTTGTCGATACAACATTTATGATCATGAGTTCTGTCACACCCCGCCTCCGCATGGAAGGGTACAGACACCTTCCCAGCATTCTCTGAACCTCGTGAATACCCGTCATGCGGCTGATGGAGGACATTTACTCATTTTAACTGCTTCTCCTGACCAATGTGGTAACTCCGAGTTTACTAGACAGCCAAATTTCACCTTTTATCTCAGCTTCAAATGAGGAATCCTCGCCGGCGCTGAATGGGAGGACGCTATTCGCAGCAAATCATTTCATAATCTGGGCATTGCTCGCACGTCTAAGCCTACTTACGCTGTCATCTTCAACGTAAGCCTGAGGTATTTTCGACGTACCTGGTCAAATTTTGGTAGTCTGCCACGATCAGTCACGAGATAATTTAACATCACGATCCAGAGCTGATACATGCCTCCCACAAACCGATGCAGGATGTTCACGCCTGTCTCGTAATCAAGCCATAACCCATCTTTTTGCGCCCTTTACATCCTATCCCACGGCGTGTGGGTGTGTTATTGAAAAGCCCCAGAATAAAACTGCGCAAGTTGTTAAGTGCGTTTGTGGGGAACATTATTCACATAGATAAGACAGTGGCAATTGGCTTATTCCTCGGAGAAAAACCAGGCGAATGGAGATATAAATGGGTTGATATGTCGGCAACTGCCTTTATCGAAATAATCGCAGAAGCATTAGTGCTGCGACAAGGCAGCGCACAATATTGTGTTCAAGCCATTCCACGGTATCCTACTTCTGCTGGGATTTAAGTGTAATCTCAACGTCACCGCGACGTCTCTAAGTGCACGGCAATGGCACTCCGGGCTAATCGCACGCCTGAAACAGACGAAATGATGTCGGTCTCCAGACTGATCTTTTTGGGGGAAATCTTGACTCTCCCTCCCTCCCCGATGTCCGCCGTTCTTTACAGCGATTGCGAAGAATTATTTGTCGTAGTCAAACACAAGCTCACTTAGAGGTAGCTCGTAAAGGGTGCGGTAGCTAGTGAAGGATACGTGTTGAAGGGAACTACCATGAATGGCGTTGAGAATGTGAATTTTGAATATTTCTGTCAGCTTTGTTCGCCCTGTCATTTTGTTTTTGGTAAAATATAAGATTATGAGGTCTATAAACAAAAAATCACGCTTCAGCGCATCAAACGTCGGCTGTAATCTATGCCAATGTAATGCTCGTGGCAATAACGGCGTTGGAGGCATTGCTGGTTGGAGTGAAGAGCGCTCAGCTGACTGGGGTGTGCCCGCCGCCGCAGACTGGACCCGGTGGCGGAGCAGCCGAGCGAGCCGGCGCGGCCGCACCGCCGGCAGCAGAAGGGCAGGCCGGCCGAGCGGCCGCTCCAGCCCGTCCAGGTGGTCCGAGAGCTGGCCAAGAGGCTCGGCGTGCCTGCGCTGCACAGGAGGCTCGAAGGTAGGCCGTCGCGTCACGCGGACCGGGCGCCCGCTGGCGGGGGCGGGGTCAGACGGCCGGTGCCCGGGCGAAGGTGGATCGAGACCCCTCGTTGTAAGATGTCAGCTGCCGATGCCGTGCCGACAACGGCAGCCAAGTTTCCGATGTGATTTCTGAGCGTGTGTCATGCTGGGTGCTAGCAGCCGCCCCTCCGCTTGCTGACATGGTCGGCGGTGCTGTGGCAGTACAGCGTCGGCTGACCGTGTCACGGCTGGTCGTCTGGTGGCAGATTGTCTTTGGCGCTCCTTCAACTCCAGCAGCCAATCAACGAGTGTGTCTGCGCTCGCTCCGATCCGCCTCACTCGCGCAGGGGTTCGTCTGAGCGGCGGACGAGTCGAGGTGCCGCGCGCCCATGACGCCTCCCCCTCGCCGCTGAACTTGGACCCGTCCGGTCTGCCGGCGCTTAGTGACGTCACCATCACCAGTTCGGATGGCGTGGCGCTGGCCTGCCACAAGTGCGTGCTAGCTGCCCGGCTCCAGTACTTCAGCGTGATGTTCAGCAGCTGCTGGGCCGAGGTACGGCGACAGAGAGACCGCAGCCGCCCAGCTGCTCTCCGTCTGCCGTAAGAGTAGGACCCGCCCAGCATCAGAATGTGTCCACTCTCACTCAGGACGGGTTCATCTGCCATCAGAGTGGCTCTGTCTGTGCTCATATCATGACCAGCGACTCATCCAGCGATCCGTCCGCCCTCGGAGCACGGGCGGTTTCCTCCTCTCTCTGAACGGGACTTCGTGCCTCAGAACGGGTCGTCAGAGGGTGACCATTGTGGCGGTCCCCCCTTCTGACGTCAGATTGTGGTCCGTTATTCATCCAGTGAGCCATCCGCCCTCACAGTGTGTATAGTATCCCTCTCGCCGCAAAATGGGTCTGTCTCTCCCCCGAGTGGGTCGTTTAGCGTGTGGCCAGTGAGATGCTCCCTGCCTCCGACCTCAGAGTGTTGCTTGTCGGTCCCCAGAGCGTGGCCAGCGAGGCGGTGCGGCTGTCGATGCCGGCGGCCGTGCTGACGGTGCTGGTGGCCTTCTGCTACACGGGCGAGGCGCGCCTGCAGCCAGATGACCCGGAGCCGCTGCAGACGGACGACCTCGAGCTGCTGTGTGGCCTGCTGGCCGCCGCCGACCACATGCTGGCCACCCGGCTCAAGGAGATGTGCGAGGTGCGACTGGGGCGCGGCGGCGCCGAGGCTGGCGGCGTGCGCTCGCGGTCCGGCCGCCTTGCGGGGCGCGCTCGACGCCCGGCATTCTGGCGTGGCACTGCTGTCGTTGGCTGATCTCGGGTAAAGTTGGTCCATCGCTGGTTATGGTGACAGTGTTGACATGTACCGCCTCTAGTCTATGGTTTGAATGTGCGGGTGCAGCAGCGCCTGCCGGGCCCTCTGTGCAGAGGACCTCCAGGCGCGGGCAGGCGGGCCCCCTTGCGGTCCGCCTGGCCTGGGTGTACCGGCCAGTGCGGGGTCCTCAGCGGCGATCCGCGCTCCGCCAGGTGGCGCTCTCCAGGCAGCTGACGCTGAAGAACGCCGTCGAGCTGATGGAGTTCAGCGCCATGTACGGCGCTGAGCAGCTCAAGTCCACCTGCATGCAGTTCATCTGCCTGAACCTGGCCGCCGTCATGGAGAACAGGTGGGCGGCGCCGGGGTCTGTGGTGGATGGTCGTTGGGAACTGGCAGGCGCTGGTCGTACGTAACACTGTCTGCCGCTGTCTTCGCCACGGTTGATGGGGTTTGCACGGGCCTTGGACGGCTTTGCTCGGGTTGCTGATTTGGTGCCCCTCGGGACTTTTTTGGCATAGCTGATCCAAAAAGGTGACCTCTGTCATTATTTTTAGGCTACGTTTTCGGTGAAGTTTACATAGTAACGTTGGTTACATAGGATTACATCAATTAATTTCGTTTGCGCACCTGACGATTTATGTATTAAGCTTTCAGTAGCCGGCGATTTTTAAACGCAAGCCAGTTTTAGCCAGTTTAGGTTGAAAAATAAAGCGGCATTAGAGCTAAGCTAGGTGGTAAGCAGTCCTGTACTTAAAAGGAAATGTTTCAAATTTGCAGGCGTTTGGGCAAGAATCGGATGTGATGAAATGAACTCGCTTGTAGCTTTTGATATGATTTTTAATTAAAAGCCTCCTAGGCAACAACATTCCAGTTTTTAATGAAGACACTCCTCAACATGTCATCGTTTAATTGCGTCATGGTACGTTTATATCGGAGTACGGGGATATCGATAAGGTAGTGATTAACACATATGCGCCTTTGCGCGTCTGGGAAACCAGAGGTACGGGGTTCGATTTTCCGCGGTTCCCCCTCCTTCCCGCCAGGGTGAGAGGCTGGCAACGCCAAATAGCCTCAGCCCCTGAGTCATCGTCAAACACGGATGACGATGACGTCAGAGTGGCCGCCGAATGGGCCGTGCGAAATTGCCAGCGTAGTGGACGGACTGGCTCACTCGTAGTGTCTCAACTTGTCGAGAGGTGTCGTAATTATCGGGGCGTTGTTTGCAGACCCCAAATGTGGCTTGTTCGCGTGTTTTGTTCCTTTCCCGTGGTGTTCCTGCATATTTGCCCGCGATTTTATATTGTTTTACTTGCGCTTACATACTCGGTTACAGTGATTCTAAGGTTTTCGATTTCAGGTCATATTTCTTTCATAACTCGTACCACTGTCCCACTCTGTATTATGCAGCTTAAAACGTGACCCGTGTCCGTAACTTGCTCCGAACGAATGGCGTCAGTAGATGGCTAATTCAAGTCTGCTAGTGCCAGAAATCGCGCTGACATACACCAGACATGAGTAGCTTGATGGTCATATTTACGTTGGCACAACGTGGCTAATAGGGCGGCAGTTCTTGCGTAATGTTTCTTTGACGTCATGCATGCCTGGGTGACTAAAATAGTCTGTACGAAATAGCCTGCACAAGTTCGCAGGCGTCACCCTCAGAAACCAGCAAACCATCGGGTTTTAAGTCTTAAAAGGCAGATGGGGACTGCGCTGGATGATATTCAAAATGACTATCTGAGCTCAAACCCATGTGCAAATGTAGAATATTCCCTTCAGACCCGTCCAAGTCCAAGCCGCTGCCCCGCTCCATGCGGATTGGTGGTGTCCCGTAAATAGGTTGACCGCGCCAGAGACATCTGGTGACCAGACCTGAGAAGTTCCTCTCGGCAGGAGATTAGACACATATACAACATATGCATATGATGATGGTTCGACCGAAAGACGGCTCTATCTCATAATGCAGGCTGTAGCAATGACTTGTTTACTCCATACCTGTGGTTCGGGAGGAACATGAACCTTTTCCGTGCAGCCTGGCGTGACGCAGGTTACTGATGGATATGCCAGCTCATTACAATGCAGTTTCAAGTGGACAACACATAAACGCCGTTATAATGCAATACCATGCTGGAGTGGTCGGTTTGCGTGATGCGCAATTGAGTTCTGGTGAGGGCGGATCCAGAATGCCGCCTTGGACGGGGGGGGGGGGGGAGGAGGGGTCAGCGCTGGCTGTGAGTGCTTTAGTCCAAAAAGGTGTCCTAATTTCTTATTAGCTTGTTCCCCTGGTATTCGACCTTGGTTCGCAGGCGTATGCACAGAGTATCTCATTTTATATACTTTAAGTAATCAGGTTCTATCATTAGTAGTTATTTTAAAGTTCGTAATAAGTATAAACAGACATTTATGGACATATGCCTACCATTACAGACAGTGGCACATTTGGGTATTTCTGTTTTTATGGTCAGCGCTCGAAGCAGCGTAGCGGAATGCCCCCACGACCGCTCCCTGAACACGAGCACATTTTTCAAAATTCCGTGATGGCCACAGCAGCCGCTGATGTCTTGCGAATGACGTATTCAGCCGCTGAGAGCGTGGGGCTCCCCTCTCCGCGTCCTGCATCCCGCGCGCGTCTCTAGCTCGCAGACTGCACTGGCTGTGTGAAACGCCAGTCTAAGGAAGGCCCCGCACTGGCGCGTTCTTCATGCGCCGCGGCGTGTCGCGGCGGCCACGCGGCTGTCGCACCACTATCGTCCGGCTGTCGCACCACTGCCGTCCGGCTGTCGCACCACTGTCGCCCGGCTGTCGCACCACTACCGTCCGGCTGTCGCACCACTATCGTCAAGCTGTCGCACCACTGTCGTCCGGCTGTCGCACCACTGTCGTTCTGCTGTCGCATGACTTGCGACGGTGTCCGGTTCAGTGGTGGCAAACGGTTGCAGGTCAAAACGTTTTGGTCATATTGCATCAAGTAACCTTTGATGTTTTTGGGGGCACAAAGAATTCCCCATCACCATTCTTTTAAGACGCGCTCGGGTGAGGGTCAATTTGCCCCCCCCCCCAAGGTTTTTCGGAATGATTTCCGCGATGTGCCTACCTGTAGACAGTTGAATAACCGTCCGTTTGGTATAAAAAATTTAGATGCACCTTGTAAGGTCGCTGACCTAATGCAGGTCAAAGTCAGGCCATGGATTCAGCGAAGACAGTTCCTAGGGAATCGATCATTCCGGTGCAACAGCGTAGTGTTACAGGAAGTCATATATTTCCGAGGCAGTTTCTTAGTCAACACGATGATCCAAGTAACCAATTCCATTGACCTAGGGTCAAGTATGAAGGTCAGATCAAGGCCAGAACCAGCCTGCTTTTTACGGAAGTGCTTGGTGTACTGGGTAGATTCTGGTGCTCAGTTTGAATTCACTGATAACAGGAACCGCATTATGCATGTTTCATGGGCTTCTTAGGGACCAGAATAGGTTATTGACGTAAAATGACACGGGTCAAGATTTGTTTTTAGGAACATGCAGCTTAGCATAATCCTTGATGCTTATTCTAATGCCAAAATCAAAGCTGTCTTGGGTTATTTCCGTCACCATGACCTTCGAAGAGTCGAACAAGGTCACTGAACTTAAATAGGCACCAGTGACCTTTTGCTTAGAGCAGGTATCTAGGTGCACGATGGTTCGATGGTTGCATGAGGAGATCTGTTGGCACTTTATACACCTATCTGGAGTTCGACCTTATTTGACCTTACTTGACCCGAAGGTCATGACCCAGGAATCTCATATTTTGACACAAGCAATATCACGTATAGGCTAACAGATTGTTTGAATTCGGCGTCTTTAGCTTCATCAGTTTCCGAAATCTGAGCGGGTCAAATTGACGTCCACCCCCACTCGAGCGAAGGGTGTTCAACCAGCCACTCCGGCGCGTTCTTATTCACACAAGAACAGTTAAGCTCATTCTATGCAAAGCGTTCTTCGGTGTCCATGGTCAGTTGCGGCCAGTTGCGAAACGTAGGATTGAAGTCTCCCTTTCGCATTGGGCCGCACGGCAGAATGTATTGATACCAGGGCGGAGCTTCGTGAAGGGCATCGGGGGTAGGGGGCGAAACTCCATGTGGAAGATGGAGGGGTCCAGAAGTTTTCCTGAGAATCCTTCCAATGCTTTTAGCATTGAGGTTGACGTGCTACTGAGGGGGGAGGGGAGGCGACTTAACATCGGGAGGGGTGGTGTGGACCCCTGAAAAGGATACGAGGATCCACCATGTTGATGCCATCATTTCTGTGGCCTGCAATATTCCACTGGTTGTCGGCCCACAAAAAAACTGACGATGCCCTTAAGATATTTCCCGAGCCATTTCCTGAGGTGATGGTGCAGCATGCCCACCCATTCGGCTCATTCTGATTCGGGTCCATGTTTAGAATATTTGAGTTCATCCCTACGTAAGTGGGCAATACGACTGGGTCTATTGCCTTCATATCTAACATAAGCCTTAAGATTGACTTTCGGTGCGCGGATTCTTCTTCATCTGGCGGATCCAGCGTAGCCGCTTGCACTTCTTTTGAAGCAGCAATTTAATAACACCCTTATCGGCTCTCCTTCGACGGTGATATGTAGGCATTGTGTTAATGTATGATACAGCATTCAGTTCAGGACTATGCCATCCATCTTGCTAATGCCGACAAAACACGGAAACGCGATTAATATTCGGTTTACTCGGTATCCATGGCAACCCATGGCAACTAGCCATACGAGTGACGCAGCTCACTGTCGCGCGGCAAGGCCCTAGGCCCTAGGTCGCGCAGCAGCCGGACTACAGTCGCGTCGCTCTTCGTGGGCCGCATCAGACCGCGCGGGCCGCATCGGACCGCAAAGGCCGCATCAGACCGCACAGGCCGCATCAGACCGCACAGGCCGCATCAGACCGCGCGGGCCGCATTAGACCGCGCGAGCCGCATCAGACCGCGCGGGCCGCATCAGACCGCATAGACCGCACAGGCCGCATCAGACCGCGCGGGCCGCATCAGACCGCGCGGGGGCATCAGACCGCATAGGCCGCATCAGACCGCACAGGCCGCATCAGACCGCACAGGCCGCATCAGACCGCACAGGCCGCATCAGACCGCGCGGGCCGCATCAGACCGCGCGAGCCGCATCAGACCGCGCGAGCCGCATCAGACCGCGCGAGCCGCATCAGACCTCGCCGGGCCGCATCAGACCGCACAGGCCGCATCAGACCGCGCGGGCCGCATTAGACCGCGTTGGTCGCATCAGACCGCGTGGGCCGCATTAGACCGCGCGGGCCGCATTAGACCGCGCGGGCCGTATCAGACAGCGTTGGCCGCATCAGACCGCGCGAGCCGCATCAGACCGCGCGGGCCGCATTAGACCGCGTTGGCCGCATCAGACCGCGTGGGCCGCATCAGACCGCGCGGGCCGCATCAGACCGCGGGGGCCGCATCAGACCGCACAGGCCGCATCAGACCGCGCGAGCCGCATCAGACCGCGCGAGCCGCATCAGACCGCGCGGGCCGCATCAGACCGCGCCGGGCCGCATCAGACCGCGCCGGGCCGCATCAGACCGCGCGGGCCGCATCAGACCGCGCGGGCCGTATCAGACCGCGTCGGCCGCATCAGACCGCGCGGGCCGCATCAGACCGCGCGGGCCGCATCAGACCGCGGGGGCCGCATTAGACCGCGCGGGCCGTATCAGACCGCGTTGGCTGCATCAGACCGCGCGGGCCGTATCAGACCGCGCGGGCCGCATTAGACCGCGCGGGCCGCATCAGACCGCGTGGGCCGCATTAGACCGCGCGGGCCGTATCAGACCGCGTTGGCCGCATCAGATCGCGCGGGCCGCATCAGACCGCGCGGGCCGCATCAGACCGCGGGGGCCGCATTAGACCGCGCGGGCCGTATCAGACCGCGTTGGCTGCATCGAGCGGCATCCCGCCGTGTCGCTCCACGCCGCATGAAGAGGCACAGTGTGGAGCGGCACTCTAAATGTCCAAAATCGGTATCAATGATCATCATGATGCATATCTCCTGTGCACTTCAGGCACGTCTCTGCTATTCGCGTGTTTCTGATAACCGTTCTCCACTTCGCCAGCATAGTCAGTCTAATGTCTGCCGCGTCGGCACGTAGTCACCGTACTTTTTTCCTTTTAGTTTTTGCTCCCGCTGTACGGAACTTGCGGCGGCAGTTAGCGCGTTGGATTATGCAGCGGCCGGTGATGTATGCGGTAATATGTCGGTGCTCATTACATATGGTATTCCTGTCCTATGCCCTTTATCAAGTGATGGATGGGCGTCATTCAATACTGCACAGCTAGGGAAAATGATTCCATGCTCTCCAATGCCATTCATGGTATTTACTAAGCTGCACGCCGGGGGTTAAGTCTCATATTATTAGCATTATGTTGCTAACATTTGACAGACATTATATATATATATATATATATATATATATATATACGTGCGTGTGCGTGTGCGTGTGCGTGTGTGTGTCTTTAGCATGCGACTGATAATGTTCGTCCCGACCAATGTTCCTCAGGGAATAATTTGCAAATGCAAAACACATGTCGGGTAGCCTTCTCGCGCAGTTCAACACCACGTGGGAAGTGGACCGGGCGGTGGTGCTCTAGGGAAGGGGAACGAACGACAACAGGTGTCCTGGGAAGGCTGGGCGGAGCACATTCTTTATTTCCTGTCTCGGGTCAGCCAATGTTGGTAACTACGTGAGCCTGAGGAGTTAATCGTCATAGAGTGTGGCTTTACCGACAGCACGCCGCATGTCACCAAAGTCCAGCATATGGAGCTCTGGCTTCCCTCACGAGTTATCCACACTGGAATCGGCGCCGCTGGCACAGCCATCATCCCCCCCCCCCCCTCCCCCTCCCCGGCGACCATCACACTCCACTGTCCATCTGCAGTGCGACCTGTGTGGCACGGTGCTGTCCCGCTGTCGTGCGCCGCTATGTTGTCCAGCGGCGCCGCGGTGTGAGCGGTCCGACGGACACCGCCCGCTGCCGCGCCCGCTGTCTGTGCTCGTCGGCGACGTCTGCGGCGCTTCGCGTGTTCGTGGGGAGTAATATGCTCCAGCGTTGGTCACGTGCCGCAGGAACTCCTGTGGACGGGGACCGGAAGTTTTATTTTCCGGGCAGGACTGGACGTCGTCGGAGTTCCTCTGAACGGGGTCCGGAAGTGCTTGTTTCCGGGATGGTCGGAGCTCGTGTGAGCTCCTCTGGACCAGGATGCCCAGACTTGGTCCAGAGGAGCTCTTCAGGCCGCCAGTGGGGTGTCACGTAACAAGTGCTGTCACGGCCACGGCCACAGCTAGCAGCCATTCGACCGTTCTTGGCTTGACACACTTTCGTGATATGTGCTGGGCACGGGGAGCACAACCAACTGACTTACGGCCGATGAGAATGTTTTATAGGCATTACTGGACGGTTTTGTGAGGTTGTGAAAAACAGGGTGTTGGGTCAGCGTGCCCTAAAGAGGGCGTTTATTCAAAGACCGGGGACGGCTAATTTTGCTGATTTCGACGCAGTAACGAGGCAGCTTGCAAAGTTTTGTAGCTCAAGTCAAGTCACATATACAGCACAACTGACAGTCAAATGATCCTTTTATTTGATGAAGACAACTCCCTGCGGACTTAAACAAGGCCGGTGTATGCAGGCAATATCCGCATTAGCGTGTGCTGCCGTGTACCTTAAGCGTCGCAAGATTAAGGATAGCCAGAAGACTGAATGAGGTTTTAAAATAGCCGGGGAATACCACTCACGCTTTTGGGTATTTCTGATGTATTCGGGTGGCAAGCAAAATTATACTGATACGCAAAACATGGTTTGTTCTTTGATGGTCTGAAATCCCTGTTATATTTAAACTATGCAGCTAATATCTCAGAAAGCCATGTTTCTCGCCATGTGTTATGTCTCCTCATCATCATCAGCATCATCACGTCAGAAGCGCCATCTGATCTCCACCATATGTGCTCTGTTTGGATCGTTCGGTGCGAGAAACCGCATGGGTCGATCCCCTCACTGCCGTGAGAGTTGGCTTCTCTCGTTCGGGGAAAGCCACGAGCGACAAACCCTTTCGTGGAGGCTGTGGTTTCGGATAATGTCAGTCTTTTTTAAATCGGCGACAAGTTTAAAGATGTACTGCTTTTCTTGCAATGTCTCCGGACGATGGTAGGCTCACCAGGGAGGTTCAATGATTCTGGTCAGGATTCTGGTCTCCAGAAGCGCAAGCCGTATGCACGTTGCTGTATTACAGAAAGACTGACGTTCACTTGCCATTAAATTGCTCCTTGTCCACATTCCCGTCTTGATGCGTGAAAACGACGCCGAGTTTTGTGCCAGCAAAGAGCCAGCAAGGGAAGCTAAGTGAAGTTGGTTGTGGTCGGTTCTGGGGAAGCTTAGTGACGATGGTTGTGGTTGAGTCAAGGGAAGCTTAGTGACGATGGTTGTGGTCGGTTCAGGGAAAGCTTAGTAACGATGGTTGTGGTCGGTTCAGGGGAAGCTTAGTGACGTTGGTTGTGATCGGTTCAGGGGAAGCTAAGTGACGATGGTTGTGGTCGGTTCAGGGGAAGCTTAGTGACATGGTTGTGGTCGGTTCAGGGGAAGCTTAGTGACGATGGTTGTGGTCGGTTCGAAGCTTAGTTACGATGGTCGCGAGTGTCAGGCTGATGAGGTGGGATAGACAACATGAGACAAAGTATGCCAGCACCGGTGCCGTGCTCAACATGATCATGGTGTAACAAATTGCGTATGCGCGTTTGGTAAGTGTTTGGACGTAACAGAGAAATTCCTAATGTTTTTGTTCGTTTTATTTTTCAAGGGCTGAGTCTTTATGGCCACGAAGGTAGTTGTTTAGAAAGGAATGCATAGAATGCAGGGCATTAAAACTTCATTGTCAATGGCTGACCTTGTGAATTTGCCGTATACAATTCATCAATTTGCACTACGCATGCTTCACCAGAACATAACTGACGAACGTTTAGCAAAGACGTCAAACAGGAGAGATCCCAGGGGGCCCTAAGAGGCGGACGTTCCGTTCGGGAACGGTCGGGAGGCATGCTGATACCGGAAATGTCCTTCAGAAGAGCACTTAACTTCCAAACGGGCTCCCTCGTCGAATGTTGTAACACTGCCCCAGGTCAACGGGTGCACGGCAAGGAGCAAAACCCAGTCACGGTGCCGTGCAGATCCATGACTGGTCCAGAATAGCGAGAGTAGCGAATAAGTCGGTAATCCAAGTAGTGTTAGCGCTGTTCGGGCGCATCACCCTTGACGGAATATGGTGATCATTGACATCAAAACACGTACTCGGGCCAACCAAGCACAACAGCAAACCACCAGGCGTCATGAGGACGTCACTTGTTTTCCAGGGCGCGCATTGCGATCCAGTGTGTGGACAGGCGTGCGGTGTGCGACTGACTCCTGCCCTGGGGTCGACAGGAGCCTGGAGCAGGCGTGCGGTGTGTGACTGACTCCTGCCCCGGGGCCGACAGGAGCCTGGAGCAGGCGTGCGGTGTGCGACTGACTCCTGCCCCGGGGCCGACAGGAGCCTGGAGCAGGCGTGCGGTGTGTGACTGAGTCCGGCCGGGGCCGACAGGAGCCTGGAGCAGGCGTACGGTGTGCGACTGACTCCTGCCCCGGGGCCGACAGGAGCCTGGAGCAGACGTGCGGTCTGTGACTGACTCCTGTCCTGGGGCCGACAGGAGCCTGGACCAGGCGTCGGAAGCCGTCATGGACGAACTGACGCGCTTCTACCGGTGTGTCAACCCGCTAATGCGACACCGGCTGGTGCGGCCGTCCGGCGAGCCGCCCACGCTCGAGCACGTCCGCGCGGTGCACGAGGCGTACCCCGTCGGCAGTGACGAGCCGGCGCCGGCGCCCACCGAACGTGAGACCACACTCCCTCCGGGAGGACAGGGAAGGGACCATCGAGACAAAGGTGGTCGGTCGATATGGGACCGGCACCGGCCGAAGGGGGCTGACGATGTGGGACCAGCAGCGGTCAGAGGTGGGTTAATGGTCTGGGACCAGCACCCGTCGAAGGTGCGCTGACGTTTTGGGACCACCAGCCGTCGCAGGTGAGTCGATTGGTCTGGATCGGTACTGGTCGAAGGCAAATCGACTTTGTTTAGGTTGACGGGGGTCTAGTAAAGCAAGCCAGTGCTTTCAAGCGTTAATGCGGTAATTCGCTGCGCAGGGTCAAAACTCACGATACGCCAACGCCGACTCGGTAATCCTGACATTGGCTATGGGCCTAATGGTGCTTCTCAAACCACGCATGTCGCGTTACAGCCCCGCACCGTGGTCAGAGAGACGGAATGCGGCACCAGGCGTCATGTAAAGCCCGGTCATATTTCTTGGATATGATGCGATAAGGCAGCCGACGGGTCGATGAACCGCCCCCGGCTTTCCTCACCGACCGGTTTTCAAGCGGCGAACGGGGCGCTGTCGGCGTGCACAACGCCAATGCGCCGCCGGCGGATGTGGTCCGCCGCTTCGGACGGTGCAGGCAACGGATTCTGACGAACGGCGCTTGGTAATGGCGCGCCATAACAACCACTCGTGGACGTGGTACACCTTACCTCGATCGAGCCCCGGAGTGGTGAGGGGGAGAGGTGCTATGACAGGGGTAGTGTGACAATAGTTACAAATGAGCTTAGCAAATTGTCTTGTTTAGAGTAGTCTTCTCCATTTGAAAATGTACCAATAGATATGGGTGAGCTTATTTCAACATATCTAATGTTTACTTTAATATATTCAAATGTGGAGCATTACCTTTAATAGAACACCCATTGAAAACACCAGAAAAATAAAGCAATTAACCTCATATCACTATCAGTTAACGTATTTTAAAAGTGCTGTTGATCTCAGTGTACCTAACATGTTCCGACTTCCAGTTTTCATTTATTCGCGTCGTAGATTATTGGGTTAATGTTCCCTTTAAATATTGACAGCATTAGCTGTCTCTTTTTTTGCAGCAGCACACTTGTGTTACTTGACTTCCTGTCTAGCAGGGGTACTCGCGGAATCTTTTTAAGAGTAGCCCTCAACTCCTCTAAGAGGCGTCAAGAGTTTCCATTCAGATTTTCCGCCTGATTTCGTTTATCGGTGTCGTTCGGGAGGATGGGGATCGTATAATGCGCAAGGCGGCAGGCTTCGTCCGTTGAGATCTGATATCAAGTGCTGGAGTTGTTGGCCGGCCGAAATACACCACCTGGCCGACATAAGTGGAAAGAACACGATGGCAATGTCCTATGCCATGCATTTTACCTTCCTGGCCTAACTAAGAAAGATGACTTTCTAGCACAGAAGCGATATTGGGTCAGTGCTTACAATGTTACATTAACTAAGCTCTAAAGAACGCGACATAACGCCCCATTTTCACTGAATACGTAACCACGGGTACAAACGAGCAGCTTAGCCCAGCGATCTCAGATTTAAGCGTGGTCATGGGATCATCACGGCGAACGTGCGAGCCTGGGAGAGTAAAACGGTACGGTCGCCGTTACCGGCGGCGATCCTCGACGCTATCAGCTGTTTGGATAACGCGGGGACGTGATGCAGAACGTATGAACACACCTCTGAACTTAACATGTTTTGTCGGGCACTGGCATTTGCGTCATGAGTCGATCTGTATGCAGAGCCGTTGAGCTACTGCATTTGCGGGATCCAACCCAGAATCCACCACTTTTGAATTCCCTCCGCCCACCTCCGACTCTCTTCACAAATTTAGAACCATTTTCAAACCTCAAAATTTTCACAAATGTAAAATCGCTTCGTCGTTTGTCAGCCCAGTTCTAAAATGGCAAATGAAGCATACATGAAGATGATGCCTTCGTCGACTGGCAGTATTGAGCAGCCGTCGTAGTGTTTCAATTCGTTGGAGTGGGTCACTATCGCAGTGTGCCCTAAGTTTGACTCCCATTACGCCCGTAATTATCGGCGCGCAGCACACTTTGCATATTAGTGCGTTCATATATCTGCCTAGGGACTTACAGTTAACGACCGTTGTGCCCGTTTGAAGCTGTAAAGCCTAAGGGGGTAGGAACAATGGTCGTAATTTGTCAACACGTCGCTCTTCGAAGCAGTGATGATTTGATAATCAAGGCGATAAAAGCTGAAATTTCAACCCATCTATCTTTCAATTCTCCTGGTTGTTGTACGAGGAATAAGGCTTTTAGTACCGTTATCTATATGCATACTGTTCCTCGCAAGTGCACTTAACCACATAGATAATTGAGACGCTTTGCTCTGCCCACACACACGGATGCTGCTCAGGCGCAGTTCATCTGTATCCTTAATTAAACTTAACACGCAGCTGACCTGGGTCTTAGGCAGTTAATCATTGACGTTGGATGCTCAACATGTTACTCGTATGCTCGATTCGTCTTCGTCTGCGGGCCCCCTCTTCAGCTCTCCTGATCATTTATGTTGTTAAGATTACAGGTGCAAGACCGCCGAGGTCTGGGCATCCTCTACCCAGATTTGAGCTCTATTCTACATTGGAGAAGTACGCACTCCTTGCATACCTCTCTACTCTCCGTGACGCTCCTATCCACCCGTCTCCTCAGCTATGCTGTCTCCTCATCTCTACTTTCCTCCCTTGCTTCGGGATGTCCCTTTACCTGGTCTTAGAAACACCTATCTAGCTACATTTAAATGCTCAGGCGAAATTTTGTACAATTTGTTGAAGAAGCATCAAGTTTTTGGACGCCGCTCTACTGGGTTTATGGGCCCCTGTCCCTGTCCGAACATGGGATATTCCTGTGACTTAGCTCGGGGTGTGATTCTATGGTTGGTTGCATCTCTTCGTATGTGTCCCCCCTCCCCTTTACCTACATTTGGGACGCGCCTCTTCCCAGTGCCGTTGAGCCCGACTTCGAACGTGGCCTCGCATCCATTTTGCAGTGTATCTGTTCTTGGGCGTGAGATGTTGTATTTGGCCTTGGGCTTCTCCCATCTGGTTAGGGGTCAAACAGGCCTAGCCAGGCTCGGCTCGCCCTTGTACTTGGTCGTTTGGGTGCCCCTGTGCCTATGCTGGGGTTTCACCGCGACATGCGACTGGTAAACTTCTTCATACGCTGATGGACGTTCGCCCACTTACACGAGGCGTGCTTCTTCTTACGTCTTGGGCGTTCCTCCGCTTCGTAACGACATCACTCTGTCCGAATGAAAGGGAGCACCTATGCCAGGGCCGGATGACACCTGCAGCAGCGCGAGGGGTTGCCATCTGTCTGGAGGCTCGGCACGCTCCTGTACTGGGGTTTGGGCCGTTCGGCTGCACGCGTTTACGGGCGTCCTTGATATGACGTTAGGGGTGTCTACCGTGGCGAGGAAAGAACCTGTACTGGAGCCGAGGACCTGTGCTGGAGTTGAGGACCTGTGCTGGAGCTGGGGATCATGTCTCTCTAAAGGCTCGGGCGCCCCTCTGCTTGGTGCCTCGGGCTGTGCTAGAACATTGGGGCGCACCTTCACCAGAGCTAGGGGAGCGCGCCTCCACTCCGGGAGGCGGGGACTCCCCTCTTCGTCCGCCTGCCGTCTGTCTGCCAAAGCTGATGCGCAGCCATGCCTAGGGCTGCGGTGCCGCTTCAGCTGGGCGTGGGACGCCTTCCATCTGGGTCCGGAGCTGCTGGCAGTCTGGGCTTGGCGTCGCCCGTTCACCCGGGCCCGGGAGCGGCGTTCTGCTGGAGTGTTGCGACCGCCTCCCGTAGCTTCCCAAAGCAGAGGCTCCCCATTCAGGCCAAGGCGCTCTCTACTTCCGGGTGGGAATGAGGCTACATGGCGAGGCCCCTCGGGTGCGCCACTGACCGTCACTTCCGGGCCGCCGCGTGGCTGTCCGAGGCCAGCGCGGCACTGCTGTGAGTGGGCCCTACTGAAGAATGCGCTCGCCATTAATACGGAATAACGCCAGCGTCATGCTGATGCACTGACCTCATGACCCCCGCCCCCCGCTCGTGGCGGCCGCGGCTATGTGAGATTAGCGCACCGTCCTGGTGACAAGTCTGTCCGTGATCGGGGCTTCCCCTGCTGCGGCTCGGAGCGGTTCGCACGCGCGGACCTCTCGCACGTCGGTATCGGCATTTGATGAGCCAGAACGCTGAAATGTACTAGGCATTTGTAGATATGTCAGGAGCAGATATTGGGAGCCCAGACATTTGGTGGATGGTGGGGCTGTTTGAAATATTAGGAAGGTCATGTCTGGCACGTGACAGTGTCATCAGGTCTGATGGCGGCACGTTGTGCAAACAATGTTCTGGTGTAAGGAGTTTACACCCACGACTAGCGGAATAAGAAGGACGCTTCGCTCAGTGAAATGGAGTGATGTGGACCGTCGCGGTGTGGAGTGGAGTGACATGAGCTGCCCGAGCGCGCGTCACCAGTCGGGCGGATGCCGGCGTTTGGCGCGTCAGATGCATAAGACAGAGCCGAGGATACTCATGAGAGCGACCGCAGCTGAAGTTTACTAGCACGTGTATCACAACGCCAGTAATGCAAAAATGCTGGTCTTAGTAAGTGATGCCAGCGCCAGTCTTAATGAGTCCTAAGACCTGGAGGCTCACATTGCGGCTAATGAGCGTGGTGCTCGCCGCAGCTCAGTTGTCTGTTTATGCCTGTATCCATTGGTCCTTATAAACCCCTGCTGAGTCTCCCACGGGGACAGGGTGCATTCATTGGACTGCAGCCCTCACGAATACCTCTAACGTGTGAATGCGTGTCGGCTCATCCTGATGTCCACTGATGTCCACTCCGCCATGTTTGCAAAGAAACGCCGCCATTTGGAGCAGCGTATTGTCACAACCGACCTGGGAGTGGGATCTATGGAGGGTGTTCAGGCTATAGCCTACCTTGGCTGGGGTGAGATTTATGCAGGGTGTTCAGGTCATACAGGTGCTGAATGTGCCAGCGTGGGTCGTTATACGCGCTAGTTGTTCCGGCCTGTGTCACAAATCAGCGTATGACACCTTGTAGGTTGATTAATGTGACGCGTGCAGGCCGTTTTATGTTTGACATGCTTGGCGCAAATGGAATGTAGCTGACTGTCGCCTGGTGGAATTTTTGTTGAAATATGTCAACATTTGTTGACATTCAACGCGTGGAATGACGAACAAACAATTTGTTGACGGCCTGTTCCCAGTGTCCTTCTACCAAAGGCGGCGAAATGGCAGTTCGAAATTCAGATATCACACAGACCCACGTTCGCATTTCGAATTGTTTGGACGCTGAGAGCGAGCGCGACGCTGCAGCGTAAAGCAGCTGGCGGCGGACGTGTTGCAGCGGAGGTGAGGAGCCGGCCGCCGCCGCGCCGCCGACCTGCCGCCGGCCGCTCAACCTCCACGTCGTCGGGGCCGGAGCCGGAGCTGGAGCGGCGCCGCGCCGCCTCCACTTCGTCGGCCGCCTCGCTCACCGAGCCGGAGGGCGCCAGCGACGACGGCCTCGACCTCAGCGGGCTGGTGGAGCGGGCCAGGTCAGCGCCGGAGGAAGGGGGGGGGGGGGCGCGCGGCCTGGCCGGCCAGCGGCCAGCGCTGCCACGCAGCCCGATGCTGTGCTGGCGGTGTGACGTGGATCAGGATGATGATCGCTGCTCTGATGGCGTGACGTGGGACGTGACTTGATAGCGTGACGTGACGTGGCCGTGACCTCCCACAGCCCGGTGCCCGAGTTCACGCTGGTCACTCGCAAGCGTCACTCGGAGCGCCCGGCGGTGGCTCCGCCCCCTGCGTCAACCGCCACTCCGGAACGCTACATCCCTGGCATCACGCCCAAGCCCCGCCCCATCCGCGCCGTGCGACCAGTCAGCCCGTCGGATGAGGAACCGACCCCGCCCGCACACGTCACATCCGGCCAATCGACGAGCGCAGGCGGCGTGACGTCACCCATCGAAGCGTTCCCCAGCCTGGGCTCTGCGTTCCCGGCCCTGAATGGCGAGGCCATCGGATCGGCTGCTGGAGCTGCTGGGCTGTCTCCGACCTCGTGAGTAAGACGTGACGCATCTGCCGAGCTCAAGCTGTCTCGTAATGTCAGCCTGGTAACGAGGGGAACGTGTTGCTTGGCACGGAACAGGTGGTCTAGGCGATAACTTCGTGCCATGTGGGACGGAGATGATTAAGGCGGCGAAAAATATCGAAACAGTACAGTCATCAAGCGCAAAATCAACGACCAGGCTTGCACAGTGACAGTGACACCTCCAAGCAGCTGTCTTTGCCAGCATGATACATTTATCATTTTGGATACGCCAACAACTATGATTATCATTTTGGATGCGCCAACAACATTTTTATTAAATAAACTCGATATTTGTTTTCATTTGGGATATTTGTATGGCAAATTAGTCCCGACGGCTTCAGCCGTGTCACCTACTTCCACCCCGTGGTGGAGCCGACTTTAAGTTTTCATGAAGCATTCCCTGTGTTTAGGATCCCTTTGCGTCTGTACTTTACTGAACATTTGTTTGTTTGTTTCACGCTCACCTCTGGAGTTCTCCTTGATACTACAAGTAGCTGTGTGGGGGTTGCTTCATCCCAGATGTTAAAAAGACATCCTTCATTTTCATCGCAACCTCCCCATTATTGATCCTGAGCTCTTCAGATGGTCAAACCAGCTCGTTTCATGCCTTGATGCAGGAGCTGTTTGCCTCGCTATTCCAGAACAGTGGTGTTTGGGGGAGCTCACGTGGGTGGGTGTTGCATGTACGATGCAGGAGCTGTTTGCCTCGCTATTCCAGAACAGTGGTGTTTGGGAGAGCCCACGTGGGTGGGTGTTGCATGTACGATGCAGGAGCTGTTTACCTCGCTACTCCAGAACAGTGGTGTTTTGGGGAGTCCACGCGGGTGGGTGTCGCATGCCTTGGTGCAGGAGCTGTTTGCCTCGCCATTCCAGAACAGTGGTGTTTTGGGCAGCCCACGTGGGTGGGTGTTACATGCACGATGCGGATTTTGCCGCCATACCGATGATGATGACGATTTGGGCTTTGAGGCGCACATGTTGGTCATATGGCGCCCATAACCTACTTTTTATCTAACGGATGCATGAAAAAGGTGTGGAGATAAGGCTACGTCCGATGTATGACATGAAATTGTATGGCTTCAAGATAACGAAAAATATGACTCGAGTCGTCTCCCAACATACCATGGGGCGTTTAGCGCACGGGCCCCGATCCAAAATGGCGCATGCGTTCCGGGGCGAGGTGGGCACAATCTATCAAGACATGCCGTACGGTGTAACGATCCCCGCAGCGAAAACATTGTGGTTGGCCTTCCCCACATAACAGGTATCGGTGAGTTGCCTATGTGTGTCCGTTTCTCAGGCGGCAAAGTGTCACTTCATCCCGCCTCACCTTACGACAGCTAGACGTCCATGGTCCCAACTGGGACGGTATCCCGCTCAGTTTATTGGCAGCATGCACATCCCAATTTGCTTGCCACTGCTTTAACATGAATGCAGATACTACTGTATGTAGGGTCGTTAGCAGTGACTGTCACAGTGGGCATGTGATTTACGCGTATGGCGCACCTTGCTGTCGCATCAGCTTCTTCATTACCCAATATGCCAACGTGGCTCGGTATCCAGCAGCATACCACCTGCTTCTCAGATCGGGACAGTGTAGTAACAAGAATTCAGATATTCTGAACGACGGGATGTGATGAATCAAAATCCTGCAATGCCACAAGACTACTAAGAGAGTCGATAACACTAAGTGTTGATCGTCACTGTCAACTTCTATAAAATGAAGTGCTTTAAGAATGGCTATTAGCTCGGCTGTGAAGACCGATGCGTGACCAGGCAAAGCAAAAGACCGTGTAACAGGACCCTGCACAAAGGCGTATCCAACACCGGCATCCGCTTTGGATCCGTCCGTGCAGGTCTTCTTGTGATCCGGGTATGGCGCGATCAACTCCGGAGACCTCGGCCGAAACTCGTCCGGGGACTCGAGCTTGTCTTCCGTGTCGATGACCCAGCCTGTCCCACTCCAGAACCGATCGCGAAGCGCACCTCTCGTAATCACGGCCGGAGGGACGCAGGTGTGGTCCGGCACCTGCATCACTCACACGGGCTCGCGTGCCTCGCGTCGTTCACAAGCAGTAATACGGTGCGTTGACTTGCGATGGCGCAAGATTAAATTTGAAACCATCAGGATTAAAAATGGATGGAAACCCATATTCTACTCATAGCATGGACACGAGTGTTACTAAAACTGGGCTAATTGAATGAATGGTGACAAGACAGAGGTAGAGTAATATAAAAGCAAGCACGATTTCAAACGTTGACATTCGGTCGCTGCACACCTTCAGTCATGCACAAATTCCATCCAAGCACGTCCAACGCTTCTGTAATGGATTTGGATCCTCAGATATTATTTGTTTTGCCCCACCGCTGTAATAAAACCGCAGCGGCCCGTGCTGCAAATGACGGGTTAATATAGCTAAATAAGCCGAGTGCCTGACACTATAACGGCCGGAGTGCTTTCCTGTGTGGTTAACAACCGGCTCGTCGGCGCGAAAGCTCCTGATCGTGTCTGCTCAACTCCGCATTAAACCGTCTACCAACTGTCTTGGATAGTTGGTAAACGGTAAACGGTACCAACGGTTAAATAGAAATCGGGCCGTATTATTTTCAGAACACAAACATGCTGGCGGTTTGATCAAACGGCGTATGTCTGCAGCCTTGCAATATCGGCTTTATTTCCCCAATTCAATTACTAGTGGAAACGAACAGTTCTCCAATCGTAAAAAGTTGGGTAGCATGGGTCCAAGCTGGATCGAGATCTCGGCAACCATACCTACCAGCGAGGCGAGACTAGCGTATGGTGACGAAAGAGAAGGCGGTAAGCACCTGAACAAAAGCGCGCGTCGATGTGTGCGCTTGGTCAGGCGCTGTCCTGGCCGAACCATGGGCTCGCCGGCCCTCAGCCAGACGTTTTCCAGGGTCGGTGTCAGCCCTCGGCGGCCGGGCAGGTCGAGACGCGTCGATCGATGTCAGCCCTCGGCGACCGGGCAGGTCGAGACGCGACGATCGGTGTCAGCCCTCGGCGACCGGCAGGTCGAGACGCGACGATCGATGTCAGCCCTCGGCGACCGGCAGGTCGAGACGCAACGATCGATGTCAGCCCTCGGCGACCGGCGGGTCGAGACGCGACGATCGATGTCAGCCCTCGGCGACCGGCAGGTCGAGACGCAACGCTAACTGTACGACGCAGGCGACAGTATTAGCTGCGGGTCACCGACGAATCTGCCCGACCCAAAGGCTGGCTGATCATGGGGCGGGAAGCAGCCAGTGTCAGATTTTTCGAAACCGATCCCAAATACAAAACCTTGTGACTTGAACCAAGACCGATCGGTCCGTGAAAACGACACAGGAATGTAGCCGTGTTATTGCGGTCAACCACCTGAGATATTTGAATTCCTCGCAATACTTTTGTCACAGCTGTAAAACTGAAAATCTTTGTGCATTCATAAAGGTGCCTGTCTGAAAATCTTGACTCACAATCATCATTTTTTAAAGCAGATGACTTGTGTATATATGAATGTATGCGTTTATGTATTTAAGGTGCAAAATAATAGTCATCGTTGGGCGCACGAATGGCGAAACTGAGACAAAAAGTACATCACTTCCTTGATAGCCACTTGAACCACCGTCATAAAATCTTAAAACTAATCCATCCATTGCATCTGCTACCCTAATTGCGTTACTCAGTTTACGAAATTGACGAGAAAGCGTTAAAAACTGCAGTGTCCAAAAACCTGATCCGGATATTTTTTAAATTTGATCCGAACTCTTTGAATGGATGGATTTCTGGGATCAACGCTCACGCTAAGCAGCGCTTGTTGTGTGAGCCCTGACCCCACCATCCGATCGCGCAATCCCAGGCAACGGCAGAATTCAGTGGCGAAAGCTTAACGTGCCGCAATGCTCGGCACGGTCCGTCCTGCCCTCTGACGTCAACTGACCTTTAGCGCGACCGCTGCTGCCGGCCGCAGGCCATACCTGTCAAGGGCAAATAGCGAGCGCTCTAAAGCGACTCGAACCCACCCCGCCACGGGTGGGTGGATCGGAAGGCAGGGGATCTAACCAACTGAGCCGCCGGGACGGACATATCATATATCGTATGATATAGGCGGGAATGTGGTTAGATCGCAGACAACTTACAAAATCGCTAGACTGGAGACTTCTTTATAAAAAACCAAACCCAGACCAGAATGTTGAGGCGCACCAGTGTAGCGCACAACACGTGTTGCCAAGTGTCTGGGCCTTGAAAAGTCCTCATCTTCACGCCGTCCCGGTACCTGTAACAGACGTCCCCGCACTTGCTCACGCCCTGCCTGACAGCCACCGACGCTCCATCCCATCTGACGCACCTGTGTTTGTTTATTGAGAGTTGGTGAAATAAATGAATTGGGTCGCGGGACCGCGATGCATGGCTGCGTTGATAACCCTGGAGTAATGACTTGATGAGGAGCCAAGGTCACTGATGCTCGACTCAGGGAGACTTTGCGCTCCTGCGTCGTCGATATAGCGGACAAAGCATCACCGCCAGTTGTTATCGTTGATTGAGCCGACCCGAACTCCCGCTATCGTCGTCCTGTGACCAGGCGGTGCGCCGCCCATCGTCACGGGCCGCCGCTCGGCTCTGTTGCAGGGAGAAGCCGAGGGAGACGCGCAGGTCATCCAGGAAGGGCGCGCGCGGTCGGCCCCTGGACCTGAGCGGCGCACCGGCCGCCGTCCCGCCCCCCGCGCCGTCGGGCGCCGCCCAGCCGAGTCCGAGGTCAACCGGTGCCCCTCGGCGGCCCGTCTGGGGTCACAGTCGGCCAGGTAATCAGGCTGTGGGAGGGACGTTACGCACACGGGCTTTCGTGGAAAGGTCAGACACGAAACACCTCTTGCCTCTTGATTTATGAGTGGGTTGCAAACCCTTGCACTGAACCGATCCAGAGAGGGATGGTGGGAAGGCCCGTTTCATGCTGCGTGACACGTCCATTATTGCGATGGCCTGATGTGGAAGTTCCACTGATCCTGGCTGCGTATTCCTGAGGATGAAGTCTCCTACTAAAGTTATTGTGGACTGTGCTGCTATTGTATTCTTATATAAATATGAAAACCTAACATCCTAAGCATCGCCGGGCAAGCTGGGCCGACTTCTCCGGGCAGACAAGGCGCGTGCCTGGTCCCCGAGCCGGGAACGTGAAGGCACTTCGCTGCGCAGCCGTTCAGGGCCCGTGTGTATCTGGACTGTTTTCACTGGGCGGTCGGACTCCTGAACGGACGATGCGGGGCCCGGGGCGGCCGATGTCGGGCGCGGAGCGGCCGATGTCGGGCTCTAACGGCTGATGTTGGGTCCTAAGTGGCTGGTGTCGGACTCCTGAGCGGCTGATGTGGGGCTCTGAGCGGCTAATGTCGAGTCCCGAGCGCTGATCTCAGACCCTAAGTGGCTGATGTCAGACCCTAAGTGACTGATTTCAGACCCTAAGTGGCTGATGTCAGACCCTAAGTGGCTGATGTTCAGACCCTAAGTGGCTGGTGTCAGACCCAAAGTGGCTGATGTCAGATCCTAAGTGGCTGATGTCAGACCCTAATCGGTTGATGTCAGACCCCAAGCGGTTGATGTCGGGCCCTAAGCGGTTGATGTCGGGCCCTGAGTGGTTGGTATCGGGTCCTGACCGACCAGTGGCGGGCCCTGGGCGGTCGATGTCGGCCCACTCGTCCCGAGAGGCCCCACATCAGCCGCTCACTCCGTCGCACCTAGGGGCCCTCCGCGGCTGACGGCCCTCGCCCAGGGGCCCTAAGCCGCTCTTAGCAGCTGGGGGTCCACGAGGCCGAGCTGCAGCTCCTGCTGTGTTGTAATCGCGCCGTACCCTGGCTGCGGTGTTGACGCCACATACGCCACTCACGCCAGCATACCGCCCGTGCAAAGAACACATGTCTCGTGATTCACTTGAAAGTGACCAACGGGGTGTTGTCGCGAAACAGGATCAGTATTCCATACCCACCACTGCAGCTTGCGGCAGGGCTCATGTCGTTGACCGGTACCAGCAGCAACGGCTTCCGCCCGCACCCATGACATGCGGTCTTGTGTAATACAGTCTGGGCTTGTGTTTCGGCTTACGAAACTCTTGGCCGAGTTCTGGCCGCCTGTCATGCTAAGATTTAAAATGCATGTGTGGTGATTTGGTGTTTTAGGTGCGTCGGCATCGGGGCTGTTTTACGCCCACATTAAAGATGCATTAAAGACACTCCAGGGGCCTGGCGTGCGTGTTACGCGGGCCGTTACAACTCGTACCCCGGACCCGGTGGCCGGGTGGGGCCATGCATGCTTCGGCACGGAGAGTCGTCTGGCCCAGACCGCAGGTGTCCGGTTTGTAGGTCGATGGTGCGGGTGAGAACTGCGTGTATTCTGACGCTTTTTACTCCCCTGCTGGCATTGTTCACGCGAGACAAGAGACTGCACATTGAGCCCCGATCACGTGGTGCGTCAATCTGCCTGCTGCGCCGAGTTGTTTTGAGCGCCGCGCGGCTTCAGTGTGACTGTGCTATCGGCGCCGCTCTGTGGGCCTGACGCCCGCCTGTGGGCCTGACGCCGCTGTGTGGGCCTGACGCCGCTCTGTGGGCCCTGCCTGACGGCCGGTTTGCGGCAGACTCGGAGTCGGCCTCGTCGCTAGCTGATATTATGGCCGAGGAAGAGAGCGCCGGTCGGCCGGCCGTGCCGTCGGCTCCGTCTCCGGCTCCGGCTCCGGCTCCGGCTCCGGCTCCGGTTCCGGCTCCGGCTCCGGCTCCCGCTCCCGCTCCGGCCCCGGCCCCGGCGGCGGCGGCGGCGGCCAGCTCTCCCACGTCGCCGGGCGGCGGCGCGGAGGGCGTGTGGGGCGGACCAGCGTCTCCGCCGTCCGCTGGCGCCGGCGCCGCCTCGCTGGCCGACATCATCCGCCAGGAGCGGCGCCGCCTCCACAACCGGCAGCTCATGAGCGACAAGTCGCTGGCGCTCATACAGGTGCATAGGACGGGCCGCGCCGCTGCCGCCCGACCGCCCGCCGGCCCGCGGGGGCGCGCAGTGTGCGTGCGTGCGTGCGTGCGTGTGTGGTGTGTGTGTGTGTGTGTGTGTGTGTGTGTGTGTGTGTGTGTGTGTGTGTGTGTGTGTGTGTGTGTGTGTGTGTGTGTGTGTGTGTGTGTGTGCATGCGTGCGTGCGTGCGTGCGTGTGGGTGCGTGCGTGCGTGCGTACGTGTGCGTGCTGCAGTGCCGTGGAACGTGATCAATGCCTGCTTGTCTGGAACTTAGTGCGCCTCGCTGTGCGGTATTATTGAGCGTGCTGTGGTGGACCCAGGGCACGTCGTGGGCTCGAGTCGACCTTTACGGCTGGTTGATCCGCGCCGTGGCATGCCCTGTCGCGGGTGACTTGTAACGATCTTAAATAACGCTGTGTCTAGCTACTGTACGCCTTTGCGGCACGAACGTGGGCGGCTGGCTATCGGCTTTGTTGGCCCCGGTGGTACCTATGCCGATGAAGATATCAGTCCCACGCGGTCCCACGTGCTTACGAATGGCGTGTATAGTGACCTCTGTCCACCATTAGCAGGGAGATGCAGGGGTTGGCCATGGGGAGAGGCATAACTTCCAATTTTTGCAGTCGTTTTGAACGCTGCAGGTGTGCGAAATTTCTTTCGTTGCGCACATTGATATTACCTGTTTGTAATCTACATACTTTGGCGTGCTTACCTTGATGTTTGTTCGCGGTCGACATTCATTCATATGCATGCAAATGCACGTAAATGCTCAATAAGAGTGGGGGAGGGCAGACACGTCCCCCGCGCTTCTTGATGCGCACCTGGTCAGCGGCCATCATATCCCTGGGTGACGGGGTTTCACGGTCCTTGCGTCATTCCGCCAGTGGCGGGACCTGTATATCAGAGCCAGGTGGTGAGCGTGGCGGGGCTCCCTTCCCGCCACTGCTGGGCTCTACCCCTCTGTCGATGCCGAAAGTGTCCACATCCATCAGCGCGAGACGTCCGGTCCCCTTGTCTGTGAGTGTAGCGGTTCTGTCCATCACAGGGATCGTCCTGTCCGCTTTTGCCAGATGTCTATAATCCCACCAACATCAGAGGTCTTCCTATCCTCAGCGCTAGGAGTTTGCCTACCCATCAGTATCAGAGGTGCGGTAGAGCGTAAACGCCTGCGGCTCCCCCGTCCGTCAGTGCCGGGGTGTCAGGTTTATCCCTCAATGTCAGAATCGGGTGTGGTCTCTCCAGTGTCGGTGGTCTCCGTGTTATCGGTACGAGATGTTTCCCCATACTGTGCATACCATACATACCCCGCGACTGGATGAACTGCGTTTGTCTGCGTCAGAGCTCGCAGCACCCTCCAGCGTCAGGGTCTCTCCTTCCGATCACCGTCAGGGGTGTCACGCGTGGCCGGGGCTTTCCATCTATCGTTGGGCTCGCCCCAGTCCGTAGTGCCAAATGCCTCCGCGTCTGACGAGGCGTGTCTGTGACGGTGGTGACGGCTGCGCCGCCCTTGCTGCAGGTGGAGGAGCGGGCCATCCAGGAACTGCTGCAGCTGTACGGCGCGGCCGACGCCACCGCCGTGCGCATCACTGTGTGTCGGGAGCAGGCCGACCCGGCTGAGCCGCGCTGGCTCCGGCAGGGCAGATAGCCCCTCAGGGCCGCGCCGACACGGCGCCATGGTCCGCCCGGCGCCGTCTACTGCCGCTTGTTTTTCGTTTCGTGGAATGTCGCGTTCATGTTGTGATGTGTGGTGGCAGTCTGGCGTGGGCCGCTGCTGTGACTGTGACCGCGCCTCAAGCGGCGTGACTGGTGCCGCGTGCCCCGGGCGGCGCGTCTGCGGCGCCGGCCGGCCGGGCCGCCTCGCCAGCCCGCTGACCGGTCCTGCTCGACCGCAGCCGTGGTGTTGCCATCGTTGGACGCCCACCTGTGTTGGGCTTGCTGGCATGGGACAGTCAGCTAGGCGCGCGCGCCGCGGTGTCGGATGCGGTTAGACATTGGTGTGGTCTGTTGTTTCGGCTCGCGTTGAATACACTACCGAGGCAGTGAGTTGGACCTTCACACGACTCTGGCTGGATCGGACGTTTGTGTGCGGGATTCCAGGATGAATCACGGCCTGTGTCGCAGCAGGGGCTCGATGTGGCCTGTGGCGGCTTTGTGCCAACGCTGCGCTGGCGCCGCTATGCCGCTGTGGCGCGGCGTGCTTCGGACTTGCTGCGGATGCAATACATTAGGAATGGACCGACTGCTTTTCCACTGTCGCCGTCACCAGAGCCGTAGCAAAGAAGCGAGATTGACGGAGTGCAGCGCGGACGTCGCGTGTTTAACTCATTTGAATGTCTGGGCAAGCCGCCAGGTGGTGGTGCCGGCATCCCGCCGGTAATGTCGCCGTTTGCATGCACACTCGTTCATCAAGCTTTTGATGTGGCTGTCCACATGTATGCATGGGGTGGTGGTGAAGTGTGTCACCATACATTCGAAAGAAGCACACTGCTTGCATTCGCTGGCGGATAGAAGTTCTTGATACGGGCCTGGCAGTGCCGTTAAAAAGGCAGTCATCGGCCAAGCTACCACTGGCGGTGGGTCATCGCAATGCTCCCAGTGCGAACGCCAAGGGTTTTCTGCACAGATTGTTCACCGTGAAAGTCATTGAGCATTTGAGCAATACTGATGTAAATTTGGAGGGAAATCACAACATATAAGCCAACTGCAGTACGCCGACACTGCACGCATCCGCTCGAATCATGCAACCTCATTTGGTCATGGTTTGCAGCAGACGTGTTGTTTGTGGACCTTTCGCCTCACTCCACTCAACTCAACCACTCCACATCGGCTCCACTCCACCCAACCACTCCACATTGGCTCCGTTCCACTCAACCACTCCACTTAACCGCTCCACATTGCTCTAGAGTTGTATATGACGTCAACACTGGCTAAAATGTTGTGTGAAGCTGAATAAGTCACGATTAAATTTCCATACGCCTTAGTTGTTTGGACGTGTGTGCCGAGTCCGGGTGCAAATTGGCACTTTTGCAGTACTTCCATTTCAAGCCTCGCCAAGCATGTTTGGAGTGCAAGCGCTGCACCGTTCACAAGAATTACGAGCCTAACTAGGCGTGCATTACGGGATGGCGAGCCTCTTCCGCGATGCACGCTTTCCGGTTTGGACATCATTGCCGCCCTTCGCTTCGACGACATCTGTGGATTCGTTGCTCCCGGGCCTTTTACGTTTTGAGCGCCATGGTAATTAACGAACCGTGTCCCTGTGATCGCCGCCGGCGACTCCCCCGGATACGACTCCCTGTCGCGGCGCCAGTCACACCGTGGCCCTTTTGAAAGATGCTGATCCGACCCTTTTCGA